AGACAAGATCTGAGAAATTGCCATTTGTCACTCTATTTTTTCGACATGTGTCAATTTTCTTTTCTAATTTTTATGCATTAAATTCATTCATTTGATTTAAAAAACGAAAAAAAAAATAGAAACATTAATGCTAATCTAAAGCTCTAAATTGTTTAAACAATTTTTTTATTTAGTAGTTTCACTCTATGTTTTTTTTTTTGGGTAAACATATACTAAATATGAGCACTAAATTCATATCTCACATGTATTTTTTTAATACACATTTATTAATATAAAATAATTACAAACAATATTTTGACTATTCAAAAAGGAGAGGGTTTCATTTTTTTTTTGGGTAAACATATACTAAATATGAGCACTAAATTCATATCTTACATGTATTTTTTTAATACACATTTATTAATATAAAATAATTACAAACAATATTTTGACTATTCAAAAAGGAGAGGGTTTTACTCTTTTTCTTTTGTCTAAAATATTGTTTCATTTTTAGTAGTTTTACTCTATGTTTTATTTCTCGGGTAGACATATGCTAAATCTGACTACTAAACTATATCATGTGTACTTTTTTAATACACATTTATTAAAATTAAAATAACTAAAAGAAGATTATGATTATTCAAAAATCATAAGGTTTTCACTCTATGTTTTCTTTCTTGGGTAAATATATGCTACTGAATACTAAATTAATAAATCCTGTGTATTTTGTTTTTTAATACACATTTATTAAAATAATAATAACTGCAAAGAATATTAAGATTATTCAAAAAAATCATATATATAAAAAGGCTTTTACTCTTTTTCTTTTTCTTTTGGGCAATTTAGCACTCCCATTAAATATATTATTTAATATTTGATTTACATTTAAATTTTCATACTATTAGTGTAAATAGTGCTCACATAAATAAAATCTAATTTTTTGGACGTTTCGTTTGTTTATGTTACATTTATACCACTAAATGAATTACATTGACATTTAATACGTTATGTTGGACGTTTCTATTGTTAAGTTTGTTTAGCTAGGTGCAATAATGCATTCATGACCAGATTAATTACAATAAATACATTTTAAAACCGTAATTAAAATGAAGTGCGTTAAATCTAAAATAATGTCTCAATTGATTCCATATAAATTTCAAACAATATCTAATTTTACTGTAAATCCTGTCTAATTTTATTATAAATCCAATGCTCACATAGAATTTCTCCCTCTTATTAAGTTTTAATTTCTTAAAAAGATGCTCACATAGACTTGTATTTGGAATCAACTACAAGGATGCAAAAGAAAACAGACCAGTGATCACCATAACAGTACGATTATCACACCAAATCGGGAACCCACAGAAGAATCTGTTTACAAAGCCCAAATCAGTGTTTATTAGTCATGATTTAAAGGTTTGTGTAATGTTTTGTAATGTGGTTTGTTTTACTTTAGAACTATAATTGGAAGTCGTTAGTGATGAACATGAGCCCAATGCTCAACTCTGATTGCACAGTCTTTTTGCCTTTCAACATATACTCATAATATTCTAGCCTTCAGTCCCTTAGATTTTTTTCACTTTAGTCCTCTTTTTCAACTATAATATATTTTAAGTTTTATGTTTCGTGAACTTGTCTTTTTCTGGGTTTTAATGTTCTTCATAAGCTTCTTCTCCTTAAAAAAGAAAGCCTTCATTATCCTATGTTTTGTGTTCTTAATCTGGTTCAGGCTTTGTAACTCTTTTTTTAACGCTGAAGAGGACATGGACGGTAGTTAGTACTTCAAATATCATAGACATATATTTTAGGTTTTCTATTTTTACTCAAATAAATCTATGGTGTTTTATTTGAAAAGGTCTATTATATACGATTGATTGTTGATTGTCATAAGCGCTAAAATCCGTAAGTGATGACAATTCATGATTTTTCTTAGACAAGGAGAGTGGTAGGTTTTGGAGGTGGAGGAAATATAATCAAGCCCATTGAGAAAAAAAGAATTGGTTGAAAAGAGCAAACAGTGGATGTAAAAATACACCTAAGAAAAATATATTGTGGGTGAAAAAGAGAGATATCTAATATATTGAAAGAGATATATTGTGAAACAACGACTTAGAAGGAAAAACTGTCAAAAAGAAAAAAAAAATTGTATTGAATCACCTATATTTTCTATATATCTATTGGTTTATGTATGTTTCAATAAAAAATAGTTTAAATAATTAATTTGTACCACAGTTCCTGATTAACATTATATTATTAATTAATTAAATATGCAAAAACTCAATAATTTAGTTTAATTTTCAAAAGGATATTTTGTTAATAGAAATTAAATTAGTCAAATATGACATAAATTACTAAATCGTTGAGACATAGCGACAAGAAAAACTTGATCTAAGTTTACATGATATATGAAATTATTTAGCCGTTTTATATTTTCTATTTTTTTGGTTATTGTAAAATACACTTTCAGAAATTAAAAGATGACAATAAAATATGTAGGCTTCTTAAATAAACATATATAATTTATTATAATAACATAAGAATAAATCTATTCAATTTATGTTATCATATTTTTTTTGGCTATAAGTAAAACAAAACCAAAATCAAAATTCAAAATCTTTCGGAGACAAATTCTGAGACACTTAACCTACTTTTTATTTTCTTCTTTATGGTGCATTTCAACTTGCCTCCATGAACTTTTTTGTTTTACACGTGTTATAATGTGTTAAAAGAACCAATCCTTTCACGTTATATAATTTTGTTTAGGTATAAAATAATAACATATTAAAATTGAAGGATCAGACTACTTTGTAAATAAAAGGTTATATAACGGATATCTTTTTCTATTATATTTTAACAGTGTATATAGATTTAAATTAGGAAAACAATACAATTTGATGATGTTTGAACTTTGATCTCCTAAGTGCGGTTGCTAAGTTTGGTGGAGTTCTAATGGCGAGTCGAAAGAAATGCACTGGATGGCTTGGAATAAGCTGTGTAGTAGTAAATCGGAAGGTGGTGTAGGATTTCGGAATGTAGATGATTTTAACTCGGCGTTACTAACAAAACAATTATGGCGTTTGATATTCACTTTTTGCAAAGGTTTTTAAAGGACGGTATTTTTGGAAATCCAATCCATTGGATAATATTAAATCATACTCTCTTTCTTATGGTTGGAGAAGTATATTCTCAGTTAGATCTCTGGTTATTAAAGGACTTATTAAAAGAGTCGGTTTTGGGGCGTCCATCTCAGTTTGGGAGGATCCATAGATACCAGCTCAATTCCCGAGACCAGCAAAAAGTAATGGTTCAATTATTAACCCATCTTTGAAAGTTAATAGCCTTGTCGACAGCCGGTCAAATTTTTGGAACATGGATCTCTTGAGGGAGCTCTTTGATCCAGAAGATGTCGCGCTGATTTGTGTCTTGCCTTTGGGTGCGTCAACCAAAGAGGATACCCTTGGTTGGCATTACACTAAATCTGTAAAATATACGGTTAAATCTGGTTACCATATGACTCGGATAGAGGATTTGGATGCCTGTTCAAAATCTTTTGGCCCGGATATAAAACCTCTAAAAGCATATGCTTGGAAGGTGCAGTGTCCACCTAAGCTACGATATTTTTTGTGGCAAATTTTATCAGGTTATGTTCTGGTTACGGAGAATCTGCGAAAGAGAAGTATAAATTGTGATACCGGATGTGTTAAATGTGGCACCATAGAGGAAACAGTTAACCATACACTTTTTGAATGCCATCCAGCGAGACAAATTTGGGCTCTTTCTCAAATTCCTTCGGTCCTGGGGATTTTCTCTACGGCTTCTATTTACGAGAACTTGGATCACCTATTTTGGAGAATACCTTCAGAGGTAGAATCATCTTCTTATCCATGGATAATTTGGTACATTTGGAAAGCAAGGAATGAAAAGATCTTTGACAATGTGGATAAAGATCCATTAGAGGTCTTACGTTTAGCGGAGAAAGAGGTGCAATCGTGGCAGCTAGCTCAAAATGAGCTTCATACTGATAACCATGGTTTTTTAGATAATCAAAATCGAAACCGAGTGAGGGAAATCTCACTGGAGTCTAATTATTCAGGATATCGTTGTTTCATAGATGGATCATGGAAAGGAACCGATACTTTTTCAGGAACATGATGGTATTGTACATCATCAAATGGAGAGATGCCAACCATGGGAGTTGCCAACATCCGTAGAAGTCTATCTCCTCTACATACAGAAGTCGAAGCTCTTCTTTGGACGATGAAGTGTATGATTGGTGCTGACAACCAAGATGTAACTTTCTTTACAGACTGTTCAGATTTGGTGAAGATGGTATCTTTTCCAACCGAATGGCGGCCTTTTCAGTGTATCTGAAAGACTTTCAGAGTGACAGGGAAGAATTTTCAACCTTTTCTTTATCTTTAATTCCCCGTAGCGCAAATGTAAAAGCAGATAAATTAGCTCGACAAGTTCGTACCGAACCGCTTCATATTACATATGTAAACAACATTCCCAGGAATGACTCTTTTGAGCTTTAATTTAAGTGCTTGCATTGAATTTATCTACTAATTTTTCAACATTTAATATAAAACTTATGTAGAAAAAAATATATCCTCGACACTTAATCCAAACAAACTAAGTGTGTAGGTTATTTCTTATCAATGAACAGTAGAATTTGATCTATTATTTCGAGACAATTGGTAATAGATGTATTATCACAAAAACAAATTGTGGTATATATTAAAAAATTTTTTATTATATAATGTTTTGAAGAAAAAAGAATAAATTTTATTTTTTAGTTATTCACAAAAATACTTCAAAAATTGAATATATTTAAATTATTTTCAAAACATAATAACAATACAAATGTACTTTCCATATATTATTTTATGTAAACTTCGATCTGTATACAAAATAACTGAATGCATAACCCACGCATCGCGTGGGCAACTTTCTAGTAATATATATTCCCTAGTGATTATCGTTGGAATGATATTTGTGTCTTTTTAGACTCATCCTCAAATCAAGAAAAAGTGTCTTTATTTTAAAGAAAAAATCACTAGCGGCGAATAGTGCACATCCAATTACTGCAGAGCATAGAACTCTTGGTTTGAGGTGAATAAAGAGGTGATGTTATTGTTGCAGTGAAGCTCCAAAAGAGGATGACCGCAAACTTTGGGACGATTCCAACCCGAGAAGGGGAACCAGCGGTGGGCATTCTCAGACTGGAACAGAGCCTCACAACAGCCATGTTCATTTTTTTTACTTGAAGCACACACAAAAAATAATGAGGAGATAGTACATGAACTTGGCCGGTCCACTGCAGAGCCAACATTATTTATACGCATCTAAAACACAATTAAAATATCTAATACAATATTACAACATATTTTTCATTTTGGAATTGTCGATTGAGAAAGATGGGGATCGGACCCTTTTGGTGATTGAGAGCCTGGCAAGATGGAAGACCACCAGCCTACATGGCATTACGTTTGTGTATTTTAAAACTTAAATGTATAAAGGAAGAGCTATTGATCTGCACGATATATGAATGCAGCTTTCCGGTATTCAGCAAGTGCCCATAATGGGAAGATGTCATTGTATGTAGCATAGTGTAGCATGCATGTACGCATGGACGCTCCTAAGATTTCCTACACATATAAAATGAACGGAGAATAAGCTCACAATATATACACATATTTTGGTAAAGAAAGAGCAAAATATGGATTAAATTGACTCTTTTGCAACCACCAGAGTTTCTAACATTTTCATATTGAATGTTCTTATCAAAGAAGATGCATGTCTGGAAATTACCTGTTGAGGAAAACCCCCGTTTTCCAGTTGCGACTTGATGATAAATTTTGCAGCACTATGCAGAGGTATAAGATCTCTCTTCGCCTGTTGTATACATAACATATTTTTAATTTTTTATATATATTCAGAAGAAACGAAATGGTAGGTTTTAAGAAACCTTTGTTGTACTTGACAAAAATGTAAATGTAAGATTGAAAATGTTTGAACCTGTCCTGCGTGAATCAGACCCAACATAGCCCACGCGGTTTGCACTAGGTTTGATCTATTCCCCTCTAATGGTATGTATCTCTGCATATAAACCATATTTATAAGGATTACCACTTTTTCAAAATTTTAGATAAAACAATATACTAGGATTTCGTGCTGATTTATAAAAAATAAAAAATACCTGCTCAGGGCATGACAAATAGCTTTCACCCCAACCCCCATCTTCGTTTTGTATCTTAAGCAGGAAATCTACACCGTTTTTCATAGATAGACAATTGTTGTATGTCTTACCAATCGCTGCTAGGCCGTAAAGAGCAAACCATGTGCCATAAGTGAAACAAATACCCCAGTTTCCGTACCTACCATTACTCAAAACAATAATGATTTTGTTAGAGCTATTAGCAACCACATTCATTAAACATCTATTAACCATATTAAAGTAGCCTACCATGAACCATCTGGCATTTGTTTGCTTTCTATGAATTGTGCTGCTTTCTCAATCGACTTAATGATCTCTTTTGTCCTGTGATTCGGATGTAGTTGTTTGAATATAACCAAAGCTTGTATAACAGATGAGGTACATTCCGTATATTCACGCTCGGTCATAGCATTAACAAAAAAATCTGTGGGATTCATCAACTGCAATACCAGTTAGAAAGGTTATACTTCAGATTTTTTTTGAGAATTTTGTTTAGCCTAACTTTGCAATAAAAAAAATCTTGTTATGTGTTTTAGCTCTTACTTCCAACCATTTATAGGCGCGGACAGGTTCCCATGCAGTAATACCTCCATTTTCACTCTACATTAGATGAAGCCATCGTCATGAATGCTATTTATAGGCTGTCATTTCAACAATATTAGGCTTATATATAAAAAGTTTAAAACTCACTTGTAGAGATAACATGAGATTAACAGAATCATATAGTTGTTCCGGACTGATTTTCTTGCCAATGACATCAGGTGGCATCGTGGAAAGCAACATGCAACACTACAAAAACAAAGAAGTAAAAGTTTAGTTGAGGCAAAAATCTTGAGGAAACTTTAGCCAACTTCTTAACTAATTTGATTACCTTAGCAGCTTCAGCTGTACAATCTGAAACTTGCCAACCTTGATCTTGATCAGAAAGAGTCCATCCTCCTTTGGAAATGTGGCGATACATGCTCTTGAAGTCACCTGAAGGGTTTTCTCTAACCTACAAAGTTGTTTGATTTAGAAACATTCATGTTTTCCATAGAGAAAATTCAAGGTACAAGACTATATATACTAATTAACAAGAATATCAAACCTGTGATTTCTTTATGTAATCGTGTGCTCTCCTGAGCACGTCATAGGTTTCATCGCATGGATCACTTGCAATTAAAGCTTGAACTGCAAACCCCGTCACCCAAAGTTGAGTTCCAAAGCACTACAAAAATATCGAATGTTTAAGAACTTTTTTCTACTAAAGTACGTAAGAAACTCACATTAATTGGTTAGGTGTGAAAGTAACTAGGTTCATATTTAAATATGTTAAGTGTTACGTTTATTTTATTAGAACCTGAATTTTCATTCCATCTTCAGCCACCCAAATCAAGTCCGGAATTCTAGCGAGATGTTTCTTAAAGTGTTCCCCGTCCGGGTTCTCAATCCAGCAAGCAAGCATGCACAAAATCTGTGTATATTATCAACATATAAACCTTTTTTGAGAGACTACATATGTGCATAATTTTTATTAGGGTTGCTCAATTTTTACCTTTTCAATACTTCCAATGGTGATATAGTGACTGTTTTCGTCCTCATAATGTATGTGTTTCATTGCCACTTGAAGAGCCTTTTTCCTTACAAGCTTGTTTAACGGCCAACTTGCAAGTAAAGGCTCCACAAAGGTGTGGAGAGTATCCCATATCAAATCTTGAACCAGAGGATGGGGAAAGTATGTGTCTTCCTACAAGGGTCAATGATGTAATGTTTGTATATTTTTCCAATGATAGAGAAATTTAAAACCATACCTTTGCGCATAGATACCGCGCTTTGTTCCACTTGATTTCTTCATAAGGTTGTAAGTGTAGTTCTTCACGCAGTTGCATAATAAGAGGTGTAATTGGACCCACAAATTTTTTCCCATATAGATAAGAGATGGGCATATATGTTATCCGGGTATAGCTAAAAGCTTTTCCTGTATAATATTTGCGTCAAGGTATAACATTTTAAAACAATAATACACTTACAAGAATATTTCTGTTTCAAGTTGATTCATATAGTTACAAACCTAGGTGAATTGGAAGGAAATAAGGTAGCAACCATATCTCGGGAGGCATCGGGTTAACTCCAGACCAATCATAGATTCCAAGTACCTACATATATAAAAATGAACGTTGATGGTAGTCCTACCAATTTCAACATCTCCCAACTAAATTAACTTATGGTCCAAAAGATTCACCGAGAGCCAAACTTTTCCCCAACAAGGAATATAAGTCACACCGCCATGGCTAAGAATCCATTGCCTGGCCCGTTTGCATGCGTTTTCTACTCCTTCATCGGGACCTACTCCAAGCATACGCAAGCATATGTAATTCAGCGCGGTACTGAACATAATGCTCTTGCTCTCAATGTGGAATCCCCATCCACCGTCTTCGTTCTGAAAATTAAGGGACATAAACATAATTCCTATGGAGATCACTAGTCGAGACTTTTCTTTAATATCCAAACTGTGTAATTTGTCAGCTCAAAGTATACCTGGTGACAATAGATATATCGAAGCATCTCTTTGCGATGCTCTGCATCGAACACTTCTTCCAAGTGTCCAGTAATGTACAAACAAAATATCTGCACAAAGTTTTCTTCATTTCATTATTAACCCTTTTTTTTGTCACTAACACAAACCATAATGATACAAATCTTGATATCAAACCAATTTCTTCTTGGGGAAAACCTAACTCTCGATCTATTCCTAAATGTATACGTTGTACACATTAAATTTTAGAAACTGATAGTATCAAATAAGAAGAAACATACCAATGGAGGAAGCAAGAAGAGAGGTCCGGTGAACTCTCCTGGCCAGTGGCCGTCCGAGGCCTGCAAAGCTGAGAAGAAAGCAACTCCTCGCCGTAAAGCATTCGTGGCTTTTTCATATGTTATGGCTTCGCCGCGGTCAAGTTTTACCGGCGGAATCACTTGCTCAAATTTTGCCTCTTTCAAAAACTGTGGGTACCGTACGATCAACCCGGACGAAAATGGAACAATACGATTTAGTTGACTATTTTAAACTTTTATATTTTTCTATAATAAGAAATTAAATTAAAATTTATCATACTAAAGTTATTTTAGTCTTATAGCATTTTAGTGCCTACTAAACTTCTTAACATCAATCTTTAGTTTTTAAACAGCCCAGTTATATAACATTCGGTTTTCTTTTGCAATAAGTTTTATTTTGATAGAAATTCAGGAAAAAAGTTTAATTTTAATGATACTTATAAATGAGTCGAAAAAAACTATATAGTTTATACATATAATTTTTAGTTTCATGTTAGATATATAAATCTTACTTGCATTCGCCACAAGAGATCACTGGAAGGTTTAACACGAGAACGGTTTTCCCAGAAACTCCGGCGAGCTTCTTCGACAGCGGCTCGTTCCTCCGGTGTGCCAGCTTTGGGGTCAAACTCCCATGTTTGACGCCCGACGAAGTTGTTGCTGCTAAATAAATACGGATCTTTTCCTTTTCCTTCTCCTATCTTCAACCTCCACATGATAATTATCCTATGAATATACGTGTGCTGGACTTCATAAAAATTATTGAGGTTAGAGTTTAGATTTTCATACAAATTATTGCGTGATGATATATAGATAAATTAGTGAAAGAACCCTTATGTAACGAAGATAAGATAGGGGTGAGAGGGGAAGTACTTTTGCTGGGTGATATTTCACTCCACGATCGATAGTTAGATACTTTTGAAGAGTTTCAAGCACGGATGTATATATAGAGATCAAAGACGAATAATAATATTTTGGGATAATTTTTTTTTTTTGTCATCTGAAATTAAAATAGAGCTCAAAAGAGCCATTTATGTGGAATATTGTTTAGAAAAGTGATATGTAGCGGTTTCGTACGAACTTTTCGTGCCAGATTATCCGCTTTAGTATTAGCACATCGAGAAATCAGGGAAAGAGAGAAGTTGGAGAACTCTTCCTTGTCGCTCTGAAATTCCTCCAAATACACTGAGAAAGCCGGCCATTCGGTTGGGGAAGACACCATCTTCACCAGGTCATAATATTTTGGGATAATTAATAAGAAAATTTGTGGAAAAACATTTAAGAAAATCCAATTATTTACGGCCATAATAAGTGATAACCCATAATATTTTTGACCACATTTACGGCGGCCCTAAAAATCTAAATTCAAATGAAATCGAAGTTTGGCTAATTCGGTTTTGTTTCGGTTTGGAGCTGAAATTCCGATTTGTACAATTGCAATATTTACTTTGGTTTGCGGTTCGGTTTGGTAACCGATTGGTTCTTCGGTTTCATTTTTTCTTATTTTGCTTATTCGATTTCTATTAAAAAAAACTAAATTAATCGAAATTCAAATTAATCGCGATAACGGAGATATACCAAATTTAACCAAAATAACCTAAATATATCAAATTTAGCAGAAAATACTAAAATTAACAGAAAATTTGGTTTCTCCGGCAAACTTTTTCTAACCAAAAACCGGCTGCCAGACCAAACCGAACCGAAATATTGTTTGGTTTTATTCGGAACAATTTTTCTCCAACCGAAAAACCGAAGTTTTGGAATTTTGAGCAGGTCAACTCTGATGAATGTGCATTGTTTAACGTACAGAGTCATGTAAGCGTCCGCATATATAAACGAATAAAAGTAACAACAATTACACTCTCTAAACAAAACCAGTTTTAAAAACAATTACATTCTCTACGTATATATAAAACTCATGTACGCGTCCACCTATTGGTATTGCGCTCTATAACTTTGTGTACGGTTTCAAATTTGAAACAAAAACAAAACTATAACTTTGTTCTGAAATATAGAAGCTGTCGGGTGGACATTAAAATAGCTAAGAGTGACTGAAAAAGTATTTAAATATATCATACGGGTATCGTATATAAACATATCAACCATGATTAATATCGCATTGACAAAATTCGAACCATGATTTCTCAATCTAAGATGAGTTTTTGAACGACTAAACCACCGTTAACTGGTTAAGATATTATAATCTACAGTAAAATCAATAATTTCCTGCCATGATTTGCTTTAAATTGTAAAAGTTTTCTTTCAAAATTAAGTTTGTGAATTTCCAAAAGTTGTTCGATGAGTTTAGTGAACAACACGATCAAGAAAATAAAACTTAAGCAGAGGTATATAAAAAAAAGTGGGATAACCAATTTGTTATACACATGACCGTTCTGCTACACATTTTTTTTTTTTGGGGCTGCAAAAGTTCTTATTTTGCGAACTGTCTAAATCATAAATGCTTTGCAATTGATTATTAACTACTAAGTACAAATAAATGATTATGGTTATGGTAACACTCATCATTATTAATGTATTAATTCATTTCATGGGAATAGCCAAATGCTTTGAATAGTCATGTGATGAAAATCCCTTGGTTGGGGTGGACTACTGCATGGTGGAGTAACTTTTGACTGTAATCTCTTATATGCTTTCAGTGTTTAATATGTATGCAAAACTTTAAAGTACTATAAATGATTATGGTTATGGTGATACTCATCATTAGTACTATTGTATTAATTAATGCATTGCATGGGAATAGCCAAATGCTTTGAATAGTCATGTGAATTAAAATCCCTTGCTTGGACTTCAAAACAACGTTTGACATTAGTGTCTAATGTGTTTTTAGTGTCATAATATGTATGCAAGATCTTAAATTACTATAAATGATTATGGTTATGGTGACACCCATAATTACTATTGTATTAATGCATTGCATGGGAATAGCCAAATGCTTTGAATAGTCATGTGATGAATATGCGTAGTCACGTTCATTTCTATTGATTATGATTTTATATAGTCGGAAAATTGTGTCGTTCTTTTCTCTTTGGTCGGAAAACTGTGTCATTCCTTTCTCTTTGACGTTTTTGCACATAGCTGCATATATGAGTAGAAAAACGACGGCATGGAGTTTGAAAGAAAGAAAGGATTTTAAGGTGAGTACCACGTGGCCATTCAGGATCAATCGAGAATGGTAAAATGGATAGGGAGTCGTGAATGTTGGTGCTTGTTTCCATGATCTAACACCTTTGATTAGAAAGAATTAAGGTCATGTTAATCGTCCAATAAAATAGAGTTGACGTTCGATCCAACAAAAATCTCCATAGGTTGAATCTTTAGGTGAGCGGTCCAGATGTACTATTCCAGGTTGTCCGTTCTTTGCAAATCTTCAAGTTGTCCTAGGAAAAAAATTCTCAAGACAATGGTCAATAATCATCATATAACAAAGTCATAATTCTCTACTAGTTTTGACTTGATAAAGCGTATTGATGTAAAATTGAAAAAATGTCTCAAGTCAACAAAATAAAAAAAATAGCATTAGTAGAGGATGAAATCCTTCCCCCGAGATTTAAATCACACCGTCCTCGGTGGAAAAACAGTAAGAGAAGAGGATGAATAGATAGATAGAAAAGAAAGATAGGTTTAAGAACAAAGTCACCTTGAATGATATGGAATGATGGTAGATGGTGGATGGTGACTAACCATATGATCTTTCTTGATTTTGCTTGACATCGATTTAAGGCTAAGTTAGTCAAATTTGATGATATGAATCCCCATTTGTAGTTTTGGTACAGTACTCTGATTTTCAATTTTCGATGATAAACAAGTGTAAATAATAAGGCTATAAACTGTCAAACTGATGATAAACAAGTAAAGTATGATAAGGTTATTGGGTTTTGGTGTTTTATTTTATGCATTAGGATTTTTGTTAATTTCCTTTTAAAAGTAGAAATAGTTCGGCTTGTAAGGGTCAAGGGTCTCTTACTAATTATGATTACTATCTTTCTCACGTTAAACAACGTCTACGATTACGAGATCGGAGTCTAAAGCTTTGGCTCATATCAACAATAACCAAATGAAATAAAACCAAAATGTAAATAGACACACACATAAACTCTAATGATTTGACTGAGAGTCACACAAAGAAATCTTTACGAGGGTGGAAGACATTATAAACAGAGAGGAGATGTGATATAGGGCTGATCACAAAAGTAGAAGAGAGAGGAAAAAAACAGAGAGGAGAAGAGATAACTTAAGTCGGGTTTGTCCGCTAGGTGCTTGTGCAATGGTAGATGGAGTTCCAAGGGTTGAGGTTGGGCCTTTAGCTAAAACAGGAGGTAGTGGTGGCTCAGTGACATCAGCATCTATGAAATCTGGGTTTGGAGCTTGGGCTGGAGGTAAGGCCAGAGGACTCATAATGGCTAAGAGGCCACCGGGTTGAATAGGTAACATGTAAGGTGGAATTTGGTTTCTGCCCAAACATCGATTCCCTGCAGAAGAGAAACAAAGAACGGCATTAATGTTAATTATTTTGTGTTGTAACACCTTTTGATGCAAATATTCTGTCATTTACTTTTGTATCTTGCAGCTGTGAAAGGGAACTCTGTGATGGTTCCATTGAGACCAGCGCCATAGATATATGTGTTTATCTCAACAGTTGCATCCGCGAAGAAGTCATATGGTTGCGATACAAACTCATTCCGAAACAGTTCCACATAAACCGTGAGCTGAGACTTCTTCAGTCTCTCCACAACATTGGTTTGCTCAGTGAGAAACGACTCAGAGTTAGGAAAGACTGAATCTTTGTTGATGACAACAGCGTTAGCGAATTTCTTTATGTCTTCAATGGCCGAGTCACGAATATTACCAATGGTTTCTTCAATTTTGTAGACAGTCTCGTACTTGCTCTGCTTCTTGAAGTCAACTAGAACTGAGCTGTTGGTAGACTGAATCATGACCTTTGTTGTGGTTGTTCCATTGGTGTAACCAGTTTCCGTGAGTGTATCGAGAACTGCTTGAACCACGTCGAGCCCTTGCTTCTCTCTCAAGTACACTGCATTCTGAAAAACACAAAAGAAAAACATAGTGGCTTGAACAAAAGACGACTAGATAGTCTAATTGATAGAATCTTAAGAACTAACCTCTACACTGATCAATACACCGGATAAAGAAGTGGAGTTGTTTGCCAAGTCTAGGAATTGAGAAAGCGAAATAAGCTTCCCAGAATTTCTCTCATTCGGGTTCCTGGACATACTGTAAGTAACCTTGAAGGGGTTTGAAATAGCAGCTGCACAAAAAGATGGAGAATTGTTTTTGTAACTTTGACCACAACATATCAAACATTTTCTAGGAGGCTAAACAATTGTTAAGAAAACAGATATTTGCATTTTAAGTTAAGTCGAACAAGAGTGTGCAAAACAGACTAGCATTTGTTTGAAGCTAATGGAAAATGACAAAATGTGAAGGGAAACTTACGAGTCAAACTCTGGATCTCAGGCCATGTGAGACTAAAAGTGTATATTCCAGCAACTGAGCTAATCTCAGGAAGAGTAGTTGACCGGTTGCTAAAAAGAGTTTGGGTGACCGTTGTGCTATCCCCGAGATTTATGGAACTTAAGCAAAAGGGTATACCGTCGCTAGACATTTGGACTGAGCAATCAATAACATCAGCACCATCTTTGATTGCGTTCTCATATGCCAAGTCTGTACATCCAGGATAGTCCCCACTCGCACCATTTTTTGATATAACAAGAAAATCCACTGAGGCATGGACCATTTGGTAGATGATAAAGTTCATTATAAGTTTTTTTTTATTAGTAAGAGCAGAAAAAAAAATCTAAATTATGTTTACTCTCATTACCTTGTTTTTTAGCGTTTCTGCCGATGTGGGAGAAGCAGTCTGAGGAGAATATGAAAAGGTAAAATGTCTGATTTTATGTATTTCTAGTAATGTTTTACAGACAAATTAAAATGGTGTCTATAGAAGAGATTTTTCTTACCAACGGTCGCAGATGCAGTGATGGGAAAATCAGAGAGCACACCGTCAACCGAAAAATCACCATTGTCCACAAAAGATAGATACTCAGACACTGGATCCGAACTGTAGTTATATGCAATATCAACATCATTTGCAAAACCTGACGCATATACTTTTAATCCTGCTTTGTGAGCATCTTGAACTAAGGATGTAGGAGGACGCAAGTACTGTTTGTCATCGAGTGGCAATATGTAAGACTTGGGAACAATAATCCCTGAAGCAAACGTCTTGACAAACGTTAGGTTACTCAAGATAGAACCGTAGGTTTGGTTCGTTGTAGGCTCGAAATCCTCTTTCCTAAGAAACTGGAACACAAAACTCGGTCCATTACGTCCGAAACGGCCGGCAATTTTCTTAAAGAAATTCACCTCAGGGGAAGAGATGAAGTCAATGGAAACAGTTCTTGAAACAGATAACAGAAAACTACTCATGCTTAAATTTTGTTGCTCGTAGAAGGCATCGTGCTGGACATTTAACCAAAAACCTTTTGGTAATAACTGCATGGTTACATCTTGAACCGTCGAAATCGTAAATCCACTTGCATCAAATCTTTCTGAGCGCGATAATATTCCTCGGATCACTAATTAAGGTAAAAAGCAAAAACATATGTGAGAAGTTACAAGAAAAACCAAACACTCTACAAAAGCACTAAAGGAATCTTAAAGACTCACAAGAAACATTCTGGAGCTCTGTCAAGGAGAAATCAATGGGGAACCAACCCTGAGTAGTGACTCCATTAACCGGGTAAGATTTTTGACGATTTGAGTAAACAAGATCAATATTTGAAGCATTGGCCAGATTTAAATCAGGGAAGCAAATCCCAACTTCATCTTTGGTTAGCTGAACATCACACCATAGAACAACTTCGTCTACACTTGCCTGCATTGCAAATTGGTATGCAGCTAGACTCGAATCTGGAAACAATCCAGAAAAGCCACCACGAGCAATCACTAGTGGAGCATCACCTAGTAAATAAATAAAAAAAGTAATTTGAAGTTATTTTAATACTTGGAGACAAAAGTATTTATGCTTCCACAATCAAAGTAGTTATTGGACTAATATTTGGGAACTGCCCTTTATTGGCTATAATCCCCAAACCAAAGATAAACTTTTCAATAATTGTTCTTCTGAAATCAAAATGAAGTTATTATATATCCCAGCTTTTACTTACACATATAGATAAAGAAAAAAAGTACTACTAGTACTTAAGTTCTCTTGTTTTCTTGGAAACCAAAAAAATAGAGAGAGAGAGCAACTCTCACCATTGAGCGTCTGCCATCGACTTGTAGATCTTTGAGCATCAATTTGAGCAGCAAACAGCTGAATCAGAACAACACCACAGAATAAAAGCGTTGAAGATCGTATTACAATCTTTGTCGGATTACCTGGCCGGGAGTTCATCGGTAACTTACATAAATGGAAAAACAAAAATAGTATATTTATTGTTTAATGTTTAATTTTGTAATGCATAAGCATTGAGCTCATAGAGGAGAAGTACAGAGAGACTCAAGAGCTTAATTTTTATATCAATTGGCTTTATTAGTTGACTCATAGACTCATAGTGAACAGATGAAGAGAGAGCAATAATCAAATGGCTTTATTAGTTGACTCATAGTGGACCAATACAAAGAGACTAGCCTTTTTTTTTTAAAAACAATTTATTAGTTGACTCAGAAAGACTCGTCTCTTCATTAAGTTATTTATATGCCAAACACACAATATATAGACAGAGAAAGATTGGTTATTGGATGTTCCTTTAGCATTTTTTTTTCTTTCTTGGATATGATTAAAGGTGGTGAAGAAAAATAACATATAATGGTCATTTGCTAGATCAACTATGATATATAGTCTTTGTCCTTCATATTTTTTTTTTGTTACTATTTCTAAAACCTTTGTTTATATCACCTAAACGTCAATACCCCGAAAATGAGGTAAAACATGGAAAAGAATCTTTAGTGGGCCTTGGGCATTTGTCCTCTCTGCAAAACATGAAATTAAAATCTTTAGTGGGACTGAGATAGGGGACTTGCCGGTAAACCAATACCATACTATCTCTTATCTCCTATCTCCTAAATCTTTTTATCCTCATCCTTTAAAGCTGACCAAAGAGGGTTTAGGAGACTTGCAATGTCAATACATTGTTCTTTATTACTGTCTCTAGAGAATTGAGACAGAAACAACAACAATGATGAAGTAGTAATTTCTCGAATGGTTTTAAAAGACAAATAAAAGTCTAATCTGAAGACACCTTGAGTTATTTGTAGATTAAACTTAAAGTCTTGATCTCATCTTTGGGTGTAACGCCTCAAATGTTTTATCGTTATAGAAATCTTTCTCAAATAGTCTAACATAGTCATAAAAAAACTTGTTTAAGAGAAAAGTCTTCTCGTGAATTCGGAATGTAGACAATATATGAGATTTTTGAATAAATGCGTAGCTAATTTCGTGCTTTGATAGGTTCCATGGTGGCTTCTTGGATCATCCTTCTGTATAAACAGAGACTTCCTCTGAAAGCGTAGAAGATTCTTGAAAATTTGATGTGGGGATTTGCTGCAAAACAGGCCTAGGAGGGACTTCAATAGCATCCAAGCTTCCTTCCAGCATCTCTACAACTCTGTTCATCGCTGGGCGATCTGGTGGGGATGGCTGAATACACCACAAACCAACCAATGTCATCTTCTTTGCTAGCTCATCATCTTCGCTGTTGATTCCATTTTCAATATGCCTTTGGGACTTGCCTGATTCAAGATCTCTATATACCCATTCAGGAAAGTACATTGAACTTGTGTTAGAAGGAGAGGCTTGATTAGCTTTTTCTTTGTTCCTTGCACCAATTATCTCAAGGACTAACATTCCATAGCTATACACATCTGATTTGTGCGACACATTCCCATAAACTCTCGAGATCATCTCTGGTGCAATGTACCCTATGGTACCTCTTGTGTCCAGCATTGACAAAATGCTCTCTTTCTTCTCACAGAGCTTAGCGAGACCAAAGTCCGAAACTTTGGGACAAAAATTGTCATCTAAGAGTACATTTTGTGGTTTAATGTCAAAATGTACAATCCTTGTTTTGCAGCTATGGTGCAAGTACTCTAAACCACGAGCAACTCCTAGCGCAATTCTATATAGTGCCGTCCAATCCATATTCACCGAGGTCTTGCCTGAGATAAACTTATCAAGTGACCCATTTTCCAAAAACTCATATATAATTGCCCTTTTGGAACCTTCTGAGCAGAAACCAAGCAAGGAAACAATGTTGAGATGCGAAGTTCTGCTCATGCTCGCAACCTCATTCATGAAGTCTTCACCATTACCTTTTGAGTCTTTCAAGACCTTAACCGCAACCACACGGCCATCACCAAGTGTTCCTTTATAAACAATTCCAAATCCGCCTCTCCCAACAATTTCCGCAAATGACTTTGTAATTCTCTTCACCTGTGCATAAGTATAGTGTTCCAGAGGAATAAGAGCCTTCAGTTTCTTTTGTCTCTGCTGTGTTTCTCTCTTTCGGAGAAAACAGAAAGTTAATGTTAATAAGACCAGGACTAATACAACTCCTGCCACTGACCCTGAAACTACAAGAAATGGAACAAATGTTTGATTTAGTAACTTCCTTTCGAATCTTGGAAACAAAACCATTTTGATATTTCTCTGGCCAGCATAACTCACCTATGCGAATTACTTTGAGCAAATTTCCTGTACAACCATTCAACAAAAAGAAATTGTCAGAATGGAACCAAACTCGATCTAGAAGTAAAGAAAAGTAAAGAACAAACTTAGAGGTTTTGCAATGGTTGATGGTGTTCCAGGGGTTGAGGTTGGGGATTTTGCTATAACCGGAGGTAGTGGTGGCTCAGTAACATCATCATCTGTGAAAATCGGGTTTGGAGCTTGGGCTGGAGGTAAGGATGAAGTACTCACAATCGTTAAGAGGCCACCAGGTTGAACAGGTAACATGTAAGTTGGTATATCTTTGCGGCCCAAACATCGGTTCCCTGTAGAAGATAAACAAAGTGAGGCATTGATGTTAACCATTTTGTCTTTGGAGAGCTTTTAGCAAAATTTGGGCCACTTACTTTTGTATCTTGCTGCTGTGAAAGGGAACTCTGTCACGGTTCCATTGATATCGGTTCCAGAGATATATGAGTTTAACTCAACAGTTTCATCTGAGAAAAAGTCATATGGTTGAGAGACAAACTCATTTTGAAACAGTTCTACATAAGCCGGGAGCTGAAATTTCTGCAGCTTTTCCACAACATTAGTTTGCCCAGTGACGAACGCATCAGTGATAGTTAAGACTGAATGTTTGTTGATGACAACTGCGTTGGCGAATTTCTTTATTTCTTTGATAGCAGAATCACTAATATCACGAATGGTTTCTTCAATTTTGTAGACAGTCTCGTACTTGCTCTGATTCTTGAAGTCAACTAGAACCGAAGTGGTCGTAGACTGAATCATGACCTTTAATGTTCCAAAGATGTAACCAGTTTCAGTGAGTCTACTAAGAACTACTTTAACTACGTCGAGTTCTTGCTTCTCTCTTAGGTATATTACATTCTGAAAGACACAATAAAATGGTATGGCAGTTAAAAGATATTATAACTGTCTGGTTGATAAAATCTCAAGATTAAGAGGTACATGACAACTCACCTCTAGACTGATTAAAACACCGGAGAGAGAAGTGGAGTTTTTTGCCAAGTTTAGGAATTCATAGAGTGAAATAAGGTTCCCCGAATTTTTCTCCTTCGGATTCCTGGACATACCGTAATCCCTAAAGGGGTTTGAAATAGCAGCTGCAAAAAAAGACGGGATAATGGTTACTGTAACTTTGACCACAACATATCAAGCTAGAAGGATGTAAATTGTTAAGAAACACATTTTTTTTAATCTATATGTAACTCTTGAAGTTAAGTAGGTGTAGAAACAAAAGCTCTCGTACTAGTTACTATAATTAGTAGGAATAAGAGTATGCAGAATAGACTAGCATTGTCTGAAGCTAATGGAAATTTGAAGGGAACTTACGAGTCAAACTCTGGATCTCATGCCATGTGAGGCTAAAAGTATATATTCCAGCAACTGAGCTAATCTCAGGAACAATTATGGAACGGTTTCTGAGATGAGTTTGGACGACTGTTGTGCTGTTCACGAGATCTATCGAACTTGAGCAAAAGGGTATACCGTCACTAGACATTTGGACTGGGCAATCAATAACATCAGCACCATCTCTGATTGCCTTCTCATATGCCAAGTTTGTACATCCAGGATAATCCCCACTTGCACCATTTTTTGATATAACAAGAAAATCCACTAAGGCACGAACCATTTGGTGATAACTATTTTGTTCTGTTAGTAATAGAAAAGAAATGTAAAGCAAATTACTTTCATTACCTTGTTTTGTAGCGTTTCTGCCAATGCGGGAGAAGCAGTCTGAACAAGTACGAAAAGAAAATGTTTGATTTTGAGTATTACAAGTAATGTTTTAAGAACATAATGGTATCTGTAGAAAAGAATTTTCTTACCGACAGATGCAGATGCAGTTAAGGGAAAATCAGAGAGCACACCATCAACAGAAAATTCGCCATTGTCAACAAAAGATAGATATTCAGAAACTGGATCCAAACTGTAGTTATATGCAATACCAACATCATTTGTAAAACCTGACGCATATACTTTTAATCCTGCTTTGTGAGCATCTTGAACTAACGATGTAGGAGGAAGCAAGTACTGTTTGTCATCGAGTGGCAATATGTAAGACTTGGGAACAAGAATCCCTGAAGCAAACGTCTTGACAAATGTTAGGTTATTCAAGATTGAACTGTAGGTTCGGTTTGTTGTCGGCTCAAAATCTTCTTTCCCAAGAAATTGGAACACGAAACTCGGTCCATTACGCCTGTAACGGCCAGCAATTTTCCTAAAAAAGTTCACCTCAGGGGAAGATATGAAGTCAATGGAAACAGTTCTTGAAGCTGATAATAGAAAACTGCTCATACTGAAATTTTGTTGCTCGTAGAACACATCGTGCTGAACATTTAACCACAAGAATGATGGTTTCATCTGCGTGGCTACATTTTGAACCGTTGAAATCGCGTATCCATTTTCATCAAATTTATCTGATCGTGATAATATTCCTCGGATCACTATAGTAAAAAAGAAAAAAAGAAAAACATATGCGAGAAGTTACAAGATAAAACAAAACCTTGTTTCTGTAATACCCTACAAAAGCACTAACTGAATCATAAACACTTACAGTATACATTCTTGAGATCTTTCAAGGAGAAATCAATGGGAAACCAACCCTTAGTATTGACTCCATTAACCGGGTAAGATTTTTGACGATTTGAGTAAACAAGATCAATATTTGAAGCATTGGCCATATTTAAATCAGGGAAGCAAATCCCAACTCTATCTTGGGTTAGCTGAACATCACACCATAGAACAGTACCAGCTACACTTGTCTGGATTGCAAAAGTGTAAGCATCAAGACTCGAATCTGGAAACAATCCAGAAAACCCACCACGAGCAATCACAAGTGGAGCTTCACCTTGTAAAAAAAAAAATCCGAAAGCAATACTTATTGGCAAGAAGATCCCACAAGCCAAAATCAACTTTTCCATAACTGTTCTTCTAAAATTAGAACTCCCCAAATGGAAAAATCAAGTGAAGTTACTATTTATGTTAATCACAACTTCTCCTACAAATAAGAAACCAGGGACTTAAATTCTCTCGCAACCATGAGAAAAAGAAAGAGACAAAGTGTGAACGCACTCACCACTGAGCGTCTGCCATGGACTTGTAGATCTTTGAGCATCGATTTGAGAAGCAAACAGCTGTAGCAGAACAACACCATAGAGTATAAGTGTCGAAGATTGTAACATTAGCTTTGTCGGAGTACTTTGTCGGGAAGTCATTGGTTAGCTTCTGTTTCTTTCAGTCCACAAAATGACGATCTAATCAAATGGATTTATTAGTTGACTCATACTCCGTAGTAAACAAAAGCAGAGAGACTCAAGAGCATTAGAGCATGTGCAGTGGGGAGAACCCATATTAGTCTCTAAAATATATTATTTTAATAATTTTTATTTAATATTTTTTATTTAAAATTTATAATCAATTATGATGAGACATGTGTCAAATGAGTCTACTTTTGTATTCAGTTCGTCTTTTTAACTTATCAACCAAACACCAAAAAGCATTTACAAGAATATTCTTTTTAAGTTTTCTGTTTTTTTCCCACAGGAAAAAAGGTCTAGTCTGATGACAGATTGAGTTATTTGTAGATCTATAGTCTTGACTCCATGTTTTGGTGTGACGCCACTAACATTTTATCGCGATGGAAATCTGTATTAACTAGTTTAACATAGTCAAAAAAACTAGTTTAACAGACAAGTCATCTGGTTGACAATATATGACATTTTTTGCAATATATAAATAGCTATTTTCATGCTTAGATACGTTCCAAGAGGCTTCTTGGATCATCATTCAGTGTAACCAGAGATATCCGCTGAAAATGTTGAAGATTCTTGTAGAAGCATTGTGGGAATTTGTACAACTTTGTTCATTGGTGGGCGATCTGGTGGGAAAGGCTGAATACACCACAAACCCACCAACGTCATCTTCTTTGCTAGATCATTGTCTTCGTTGCTGATTCCATTCTCCATAAGTCTTTTGGACTTTCCTAATTCAAGATCCCTGTATACCCATTCACGAAAGTACACTGAACTTGTGCTAAAAGAAGATGCTTGATTATCTTTTTCTTTGTTCCTTGCACCAATCATCTGAAGAAACAACATTCTATAGCTAGCTATTCACATCTTACTTGTGCAATACATTCCCATAACTCTAGAGATCCTCTCTGGTGAAATGTACCCTATCGATGCTCTCTTTCCTCTCACAGAGCTTAGTGAGGCCAAAGTCCGAAACTTTGGGACAAAAAATGTCATCTAAGAGTACATTTTGTGGTTTAATGTCAAAGTATAGAATCTTTGTCTTGCATCCATGGTGCAAGTACTCTAAATCACGAACAACTCCTAACATAATTCTATACGGTGTCGTCCAATCCATATTCACTGAGCTCTTGCTTAAGATGAACTTATCAAGAGACTCATTTCCCAAAAATTCATATATAAAAACCAAGCAAGGAAACAATGTTGAGATGAGAAGTTCTGCTCATGCTAGCAACTTCATTGATGAAGTCTTCACTATTACCCTTTTACCGCAACCATACGGCCATCAACAATTGTTCCTCAGTAAACAATTCCAAATCCGCCTCTCCCAACAACTTCTGCAAATGACTTTGTAATTCCCTTCACTTGGGCATAAGTATAATGTTTGAGTGGAACAAGGGCCTTCAAGTTCTGTTGTCTCAGTCGTGAGTCTCTCTTCCGGGGAAAATAGAGAAACAATGTGAATATTACCAGTAATAAAACAACTCATGCTACTGCACCTGCAACTAGAAAATAGAGAAAATGTTAAGTTAGTAGCTTCTTTTTTAATTTAATCTTGAAAAACAAAAACAGTTTGAAATTTCTCTCGCTAGAAAAACCCACATATGCGAATTTTTTTGACCAAATTCATTGGGTGTGAAATGGTTAATGGGGTTCCAAAGGTTGAGGTTGAGCTCAGTGACATCAATATCTGTGAAAATCTGGTTTGGAGCTTGAGCTCGATGAAAGAACTGAGGACTCATAACGTTTAAGAGGCAAGCGTGATGAATAGGTAAAATCTGTGGTGGTTCCATTGATACGAGCTCCAGCCTCTAGCGATATATGATATATCTCAACATTTGCATCGAAGAAGAAGTCATATGGTTGAGAGACCAACTCATTATGAAACAGTTTTACAAAAACAAGGAGCGATCTGACTTCTTCAGTCTCTCCACAACATTAGTTTGCCTAGTCACGAAATTATCAGATCTAGGAAAGATTGAATATTTTCTGAGGACAACAGCATTAGACAATTTCTTTATGTCTTCGTTAGCAGAATCACGACTACCAAGAATGGTTTTTTCAAATTTGTAGACAGTCTCGTACTGCTTGATATATCACGGATTTTACCGGTTTTAACCGTGATTTATGTGTCAGTTTTAGAGTCTTTTTGTTGTTTCTAGTGTCTATTTGAGTCTTTCAGGTTTTTACACGTTTGGGACAAATTTGGAGAAAATGAACCATTCTGGAGCTAAACCAGAGATTAGAGCTGAAGGAAACGATTTTGGTATCAGAGCAAGGCATCAGTGTCGACCGACACCCTTGGTTTGATTTGTTGTCGCCTCGAAATCTTGTAGCCCAAGAAACTGGAACACGAAACTCGGTCCATTACGTCCGGAACGACCAGTAATTTTCGTAAAGAAATTCACCTCAGGAGAAGAGATGTAGTCAATGGAAACAGTTCTTGAAGCTGATAACAGAAAACTACTCATGCTCAAATTTTGTTGCTCGTAGAACGCATCGTGCTGAACATTTATCGAAAAAACTTCTGGTTTTATCTGCGTGGTGACGTTTTGAACCATCAAAACCCCGAATCTTTTTTCATTGAATCTATTTGATCGCGAAAATATTTCTTGGATAACTGAGGTAAAAAAAAACATTTGTGAGAAGTTACAAGACAAAAAAAAAACAAACACTTTATAACACACTACAAAAGCACTAACTGAATCATAAACACTTACAAGAAACATTCTCCAGATCTTTCAAGGAGAAATCAATGGTGAACCAACCCAGAGTAGGAACTCCATTAATTGGGTAAGATTTTTGGCGATTTGGTAAAACATTCTGAATATTTGAAGCATTGGCCATATTTAAATCAGGGAAGCAAATCCCAACTTCATCTTGGGTTAGCTGAACATCACACCATAGAACAACATCGGCTACACTTGTCTGCATTGCGAAATTGTAAGCATCAAGACTCGAATCTGGAAACACTCCAGAAAACCCACCACGAGCAATCACAAGTGGAGCATCACCTGTTAATAAATAAATAAAAAGTAATACAAATTTATTTTAATACAAGAGACAAATTTATTTATGTTCCCAGAATCAAAGTAATTATTGGACATCGATTTTTGGGGACTGCCCTTTACTGGCAAAAATCCCCCAAAACCAAAAATCTACTCAAAAAGTCCCCAAATGGGGAAATCAAAGTGAAGTTATTATCCAACTTCTACTATATATATGGATACAAAAAGAAAGACTCCTTGATTTCTACTTAAGTTCTCTTGTTTTACCTATTTTCTTGGAAACCATGCGCAAAAGAAAGAGAGAAAGTAAGAGTACTCTCACCACAGAGCGTCTGCCATGGACTACTAGATCTTTGAGCATAAATTTGAGCAGCAAACAGCTGAATCAGAACAACACAACAGAGTAAAAACATTATAACAAGTTTTGTCGGATTACCTAGCGGGGAATTCATCATCCGTAACTTACATAAATAAACTACATTGTAACCATTGAACTCATGAGTGGAAGAATACAGAGAGACAAAGAGACAGAGACTCAAAAGCTTGTTTTAATCAATTGGTTTTATTAGTTGACTCATAGTGAAAAAATAGAGAGAGACTTGAGAGAGTTAATCAAATGGCTTTTTATTAGCCGAGGCATCGTGGACCAATATAGAGACACTAGCGTTTGAAAAAAAAAAATCAATGGCTTTTTAGTTGACTCATAAAAAGAGTCGTCTTTTGATTAAGTTATTTGTAAGCGAAACACACAAAATTTGAGATACAGAAAGATTGGGTTATTCGATGTTCCTCTTTTTTTTTTTTTTGGATATGATTAAGAAGGTGGTGCAGGAAAATTGCATATGAAATAGTATTGGTCATTTTCTCGATAAATTGTGGTAAAGAATCTTTGCCCTTCAGTTTTTTCTTTACTATTTGTAAAAAAAATTGTTGATTGATATAAACCAGTTTGCCCAAAAAAAAGATTGATATAAACCTAATCGTCTATTCCTAAGAAGTTTCTCTGAAAATGAGATACGGGAACGAGAGGTACTTGTTGGTAAACATATACCACACCTTATCCTAATTTTGTTTTTTGTTTTCATCCTTTTAACTTATGGACCAAAAAACCAAAGAGCCTTTACAAGAATATTCTTTTTAAGCGTTCTGTTTTTTTTTTCCCTTTGATAAAGAAGGTCTAGACAGATTAAGTTATTTGCAGATGTATAGCTAGTCTTAATTCCATGTTTTGGTGTGACATCTCGAACGTTTTATCGCGATAGAAATCTGTATTAACTAGTTTAACGGAAAAGTCCTCTAGTTAATCCGGAATTTAGACAATGTATACCATTTTTTAGTAAATAAATAGCTACTTTCGTACTCAGATACGTTCCAAGGAGGCTTCTTGGATCATCAATATTCAATCAGTGTAACCAGATATATCATCTGAAAATATTGAAGACTCTTGTAGAGGCATTGTTGGAATTTGAAAAACAGGCCTAGGAGGGATTTCAAGAACATCCAAGCTGGGCGATCCAGTGGGGAAGGCTAAATACACCAATGTCATCTTCTTTGCTAGATCATTGTCTTCGTTGTTGATTCCTTTCTCTATAAGTCTTATGGACTTTCCATATTCAAGATCCCTATATAGCCATTCAGGAAAGCACATTAAACTTGTGTTAGAAGCAGAGGCTTGGTTAGTAATAGGACCAGATCGGACCTTTGATATCAGGCCTTTGATTAGAATCGGATCGGCCCTTTGATATCAAAGGTCTTGACAATTAGCTTTTTCTTTAATTTGTTTCTTGCACCAATCATCTCAAGAACCAACATTCCATAGCTATACGTACATCTGATATGTGTGACACATTCCCATAAACTCTGGAGATCATCTCTAGTGCAATGTACCATATTGTACCTCTTATGTCCAGCAATGACAAGATGCTCTCTTTCTTCTCACAGAGCTTAGCAAGCCCACAGTCCGAAACTTTGGGGCAAAAATTGTCATCTAAATCCGTCTCTGCCAACAACGTCTGCAAATGACTTTGTAAATTTCATCACTTTTGCATAAGTATAGTGTTCGACAATGAACAAAACAACTCCCGCTACTGAACCTGCCACTAAAAAACACTTTGAAATTTCTCTGGCTAGCAAAACCCACATATGCTAATTGCTTTGACCAAAAGTACTTAGATGTGAAATGGTTGGTGTGATTCCAGGGGTTGAGGTTGGGGCTTTTGCTATAATTGGTGGTAGTGGTGGCTCAGTGACATCAACATCTGTGAAAACTTGGTTTGGAGCTTGGGCCGAAGGAAAGAACAGAGGACTCATAACGTTTAAGAGGCCACCCGGTTGAACATGTAACATGTAAGGTGGTATTTCTTTGCTGCCCAAACAACAATTTCCTTGAGAAGAGAAAAAATATTCAGGCATTGATTTTAATTCGTAAACCCAGAACCACCACCATCCTCCGATGAAGATCGGTGACGTCGTCGTCTCCTCCACCTATACTCAACACAAACACAATCCATATGTAACCAACACTGAATCCCATAACCAACAACCCAAACTCTCAACGGCATATTAGGCTTCTCGTCACGGCTAAGTATCAAAACAGCAACACCGATCGCAACAAAAGCTAGATTCCACAAAATGTCAAGAAAAAACCACAGGTTTAGAATACGCCCAATCATTTTGTCTCTCTTCTAATTTCTCCGCCGCAGTTTCTCTAACGAGCATCATGGTTCACGCATCATTCTCCGGCTACCAGCGTGACGGAGGAACCTCGCTGCTTCTCTTAGATTCTTCATCTACGCTTATGGTTCTTGTAACGATGGGAGGAAGAAATGGTGTAGTGTCGATGTGAGTAGGTAGAGATGATGAATCTGATTCTGTTGTTGTGTTCGTCGACGTTGATGATGATGACATTATGAAGCTTTAGCGATTCTCAATTTTGATCGATTATTGCGATGGATTGAGATTTGTTCTTAAAAAAGGGTTTGGAGATTTTGGACGTACAAAATTTTGCAGAAAAGTTAAGTGTGTGTGAGAGAGAGATAAAGAAACGATAATGAAGAAAACCCTAATAATTATGTTGACCAATCTTCTTCTACGTCCATACCAGGAAGCACTTCCCAGTTGCTCCTGCGTATGTATGGAATTTTCTGGTACTCTTTGCTGTGATAGTTTCCATCAACATTTGTCTGGTCCTTGTAATGTCTCTCCTCTTCTTCAATCAATGTTGCTGCAAACGATCCAACCGGAGGATACATTGGGACATTGTTAGTTTGTGTATCAGCTACTGCAGCATATGCTTGACTCTGAACTATCTCCCTTATGATTTGCATCTTTCGGATCTCGTCTTGGTTCATCTGATTACGATACTGTGAACCGGTGAAATCCATTTGCATGTTATAATGCTCGTTAACCACCTGAGACGATGGTGTGATAATAGCTTGCATCTGAGGCAACTCATTAGCAGTGTTATAATTCAGACTATTGGCTTGACTATATGAGTTTCTTTGCCATCCACCGTTAGCCCTGAACTGCGGTGCTATGTTAAAGTTTCCTTCTCCAACTCCCACGCCACCAATTCCTATCAAAGTAATAGTTTTTGTTTCTTTTAAGTCTCTCACTCAAATAAAAATTGATTAGCGTAAGGTCCAAGCTAAAGTACCTTGAGAATATTGATGATGATGATGGCCATAGTTGACATTAAAGCCAACTGTCTGGTTGTGGCTGTTGTGAGATGAGTTGTTGTTTTCAAAGCCGATATCGAAGAAAAGAGATTCTTCTACCGGGAAAGGGACGTTGTAGAGTTTGGACCAGAAGCTATTAGTCAGAAGCTTCTCCAAGTTTTTTTGCAGAACTCCGGGAGAAAAATGAATTGTATGTCTCCTGTTAAATAGAAAATGTAAGGCTTTGACTCACTTTCAACATTACTCAAAGCAAAAAAAATGATCCAAGTTAAAGCAGGAAACCTGCAAGTAGAAGCCTGATTGTCGGTGAAATCGCGATCCAATTGTTTCCATTGAGTGTGTTTTCCTGCCTGTGGATTAGTCTCTATGAAGAATGTTGGACGTTTTCTCAACTGCACATAAACATTTCAAAGGTCATTAATCGAGGCTCATAACTAATTACAAAATGTACATGAGTATGTTTAGTACCTCGATATTGAGGATTCCAGTTTCATCACGAGTATGAATACTCTCTTCAAAAGATGAGACATCATTCCATTGAATCTCGATCTTTCTCTTCAGCCTTGGCATGTTAGTTTCTTCTTCTCTGAAGAGAAACTCCCATATAAGTTTCTTCTTTGCAAAATAGAATTTCGCCACAATATCTTCAGGGTTTATTGCAACGGGGGTCCATGTTCCAATTTTGATCATGGAGATTGGGAAATTCATAGCTTTTAGTTTCTCAGAACTCTTAAGAAGAGTTGAGGTCTTTGAGTTCTCTATTTGTCGATGAGGACATGTGTAGTTTCTATTGAGGTAAGTTTCAATCTTGTTGATAAGCTCTGGAGTCGTTGTTAGAGGCAAGTTTAGACGTGGAACCTGAAAAAACATTGAGAATAAATCATAAATGTGCATTCCAAATATTAAAGCCAAATCTTATTATATAAAGTATGGTTTTCAAATTTTGACACGTGTAGATAAAAAATTTCCTTTTATTTATTCTTTAAAAAATTATAAGAAAACTATACGTATATATCTTATATCAAACAAATCTAAAAATCTAAAAATCTAAAAATCTAAAGAAGATAATTATAAAGAAACTATATACATATTTTTAAAAATATTAAAAAGATAATATAAGAAAAATATACGTATATCTTATTATCTAAAAATAGAAATTATAAAATTATTTACTAATTCTAATTTAAGTACTAATTCTAAAAGATATATACTATTTTCTTAGAAATAATGAGAAAAAAGAATACTAATTAAAAATAATTAATAAAACACGATAATTAAGAAACTTATACAAATAATTATTAATCTTAAAAGAAAAACTATACTCATCTCTAAACAAATAGACTGTCTCCTGATTTTTCACCAACAAAATAGTTTCTTCAAAAACACCACCACTGCTCCTATTTATTTAGTACTTTTTATTATAAATACATCATCAATTATTGATGTGTGATATATTTTTATGAATTTTCTTAAAATACCATGCTTTCAAGTTTTTTTTTGTTGCCAAAAATACTACTATTAGTATAATGTTCGAAAAATACCATAAAAGTTTTTGGTTTTCCACTATTAAATTTGTAGAGAAATGTAAATAAAACGACGGTTTGATATGTGGTTTATAAGTGAAATATTTCATGAAGAAGTTGTGGAATCATATTTTACGCAAAATTGCAAACCATGTTTTTCTAGATTTGACAATAATAATAATAATAACAATAATAATAATAATAATAATAATAATAATAATAATAATAATAATGAATGTTTTGGCAAAACTTTTGTTGTTTGGTAATTTACTTGATTATTATAATAAATGCAATAACAAATTTAAAATATAGAAATGAAAATAAGTGTATTAAAAACAAAAGGATGAATATATAATCAAATTTTCTCTGTAATTATTAATTTATCTTCTTATTATTTAAAAATATTTCTATTCACAATAAAAATTTAATATACCTTTTTGTTAAATTTAATTTTATTTTAAACCCGCACATCGGGCGGGTCCTAATCTAGTATCTGATAAAACATTACTAACAATATCTAATAGATAATAATCAGAGAGATCCTACGTTGAAGAAGAAGATGACGAAGAAATAAACGTTTTTTTTTTGTGAAATGAATCTTAAATTAGATTTAAAACCAAATATATCTAGAGAATATTTTCTAACAACTTAAAACCCTAAAACCCTATCTCTTCTCAAGATCAGGCTTAAACTATCTAAAAAAAATTACAGTAAAACCTCTATAAATTAATAATGTCAGGACCGAAAAATTCTATTAATTTATAGAGATATTAATTTATCGATAAATTAATAACTATTAATTTATTGAGAGATTTTACTAACTTTGTAATTTAACAGAAATGCTATATCTGAAAAGCAATTTTTTTTTATAATAAATTTCTTTTTGAAACCAATTATAAGTAGAAAATCAATTATTAAGTTTAAAAAACAACACAAACTTTTTTTGAGGTAGTAAAAATATTAAAATTAAACTCTACTAAAAATTAATACAAATTTAAGAAAAACAAAAAATACTAGAGTCATATGCCAATAAAATATTTTACATATAATATATATATTGATAAGTTTATATAATTATTAATTTATAATATTGATGGGACCATATTTTTACATAGAATTTTCAAAAAAGTTATTATTTTATTAATTTATCGATTTGTGTCATTTTTTATATTGGTCTCAACTCGGGACCGGAATAAATTATAAATTTAGAGAGGTTCTTAATTTATCGAGTATTAATTTATAGAAGTTTTACTGTACTAAAGAAAAAACAAAACAGAGAATGAAACAAAACGAAGAAGAGAGTACGAGACAACAGAGAAAACACAAGAAACAGAGAGGAAAGAGCGGTGTAAAAACAGAGTACGATGTAGAAAAACAGAGAGAATTGAGAAGAGAAGACGATACCTCATCAACAAATCTGTTATTGCAGCCACCTTGAAATTCTTCTCGTGATCTCTTCATGGAAATACTTATCTATTTTCTCTTTGTTGCTTTAGCTTTTTTTTACCGCTGCATATTCAGATTTGCCTCGAAAAGAATATATATAGCACGTTTTCTCGGGTTACCTATCTATTATGGATCAACGAACCGACATTAAACAAAATATGGGCCTTACGTTTAATCTAGCCCATAATAAATGGGCTTTTCTTTTTAATAATAATAAAAACTAAGATTAATCTAACTATTCATGATGCTAAATTAAGCTCAGCTATGGCTTCTTCTTCTTCTTCGACGCCTCAATGTTTAAACCTATCTAATCTACCATGGCGGCAAAATCCCAGAAAACCCTCATTCTACTAGCAAATCTAATCAAGGTTCCTCCATTGAAAGCTTTCTCTCTATTAAATTCTCCAAATTTCCATGGATTTCAACACACACACGAATCCATATCAATCCTTCTTCGTCTCCTTCTCTCTGGAAACTTATACTCTCACGCTCAATCACTTCTCCTTCAAGTAATCTCCGGAAAAATCCAATCCCAATTCTTCACATCTTCCTCTCTGCTACACTATTTGACAGAATCAGAAACGTCAAAAACCAAGTCTCGTCTCTACGAGGTAATCATCAATGCCTATGTTCAATCTCAATCCCTAGATTCCTCAATCTCTTACTTCAACGAAATGGTCGATAAGGGTTTTGTTCCTGGATCGAATTGCTTCAACAATCTCTTAACTTTCGTTGTTGGGTCTTCTTCTTTCAATCAATGGTGGTGTTTCTTCAACGAGAACAAAAGCAAAGTTGATTTAGATGTATATAGCTTTGGGATTGTGATCAAAGGTTGTTGTGAAGCTGGTGAGATTGAGAAAAGTTTTGATCTTCTTGTTGAATTAAGAGAGTTTGGGTTTTCTCTAAACGTTGTTATCTACACTACTTTGATTGATGGGTGTTGCAAGAAAGGAGAGATTGAGAAGGCGAAAGATTTGTTTTTTGAGATGGGGAAGTTCGGATTAGTGGCTAATGAATGGACTTACACGGTTTTGATTCATGGGTTATTCAAAAATGGGATTAAGAAACAAGGGTTTGAGATGTACGAGAAGATGCAGGAAGATGGTGTTTTCCCTAATCTCTATACTTATAACTGCGTGATGAATCAGCTTTGTAAAGATGGAAGAACTAAAGATGCGTTTAAACTGTTCGACGAAATGCGTGAGAGAGGAGTTTCTTGTAACATTGTTACTTATAATACTTTGATTGGTGGGTTATGTAGAGAGATGAAGGCGAATGAAGCTAATAAGGTTATGGATCAAATGAAGAGTGATGGAATCAACCCGAATCTGATTACGTATAACACTTTGATTGATGGGTTTTGTGGTGTGGGAAAATTGGGGAAGGCGTTGAGTTTATGCAGAGATTTGAAGTCAAGAGGTCTGTCTCCGTCTCTTGTCACGTATAATATTCTAGTTTCCGGGTTCTGTAAGAAAGGGGATACTTCAGGAGCAGGTAAGGTGGTTAAGGAGATGGAAGAGAGAGGGATTAAACCGTCGAAAGTAACATACACGATACTTATCGACACATTTGCTAGTATGGATAACATGGAGAAAGCAATTCAGCTTCGATCATCAATGGAGGAACTCGGTTTAACCCCGGATGTTCATACCTATAGTGTATTGATTCATGGGTTTTGCATCAAAGGTCAAATGAATGAAGCATCGAGGCTTTTTAAGTTGATGGTCGCAAAGAAGTTAGAACCGAACAAAGTGATATACAATACAATGGTTCTCGGGTACTGCAAGGAAGGTAGTTCTTATAGAGCATTGAGGTTGTTCAGGGAGATGGAAGAGAAAGAGTTGCCTCCAAATGTTGCTAGCTATAGATATATGATTGAAGTTCTTTGTAAAGAACGAAAATCGAAAGAAGCTGAGCGTTTGGTTGAGAAGATGATTGATTCAGGGATTGATCCATCTGATTCAATCCTTAATTTGATCTCTAGAGCCAAAAATGATTCACATGTAAGCTCAAATAATGATTAGAGCAGTTTGAATCTGAATGTAGCAAATAACTTATCATTAGTCTAGATCCATCGACGAGGAGGAGCCAGCTAGCTAATATAGAAAATTGCATCATAGGCGTCAAGTCCCTTATTAAAAGGCTCCACCAGGCTTGGTGGAATTTCCATAGCTACTTTCAGAATCTTCAAACTGGTTAGACCATGTTTGGTATGGTTCCTGAAAGATGTGGCAACAGCAAGCTCTAAAGAGAGAAGAATCCATTCATTATCTTCAATCTCTGATTTGTTCAGAACGTAAAATCGGCCATTGAAAGGATCCTCAAGGGCTAGTAAGTCAGGCTTGGATAGTTGGTGGAACTTGTTATCCAACAATACGTGACTACTTGTCACCAGGAAATGTGATATTTTTCTTGGTTTCCCCTATACATAGTTTACTTAATTAACTCGGGCAAATTTGTTTGGTTCTTGTTGTATACCAAACCAATAATAATTAAATTTTACGTATCTAGAGGTCTAGCAGTACTACACTTCAAAACGAATCGGCCATATGTTTGTTCAGAAACTCTGAGACTGAAAAGTTTGAAGCGAACCAATACAGCAATGGAACAACCATTTTCATAAAGCTAATATTAGCTCTCAAGTCTTTCTAGGCTTGGAGAAATTCTTTTGGAAAACTCATTTTCAAACAGAGGTGCCTTACTCATTGCTAAGAGTGTGACGAATGAGTGTAGACTTCAATCTTATGTCGCGTGTAGTCATCCTTCATGGCTTGAAGGTGTCTTTGCTGAGGAAAGGACTGTGGCCTTTGATTGAATTTGAGTTTTTGTGTTGGTTAACTACGAGGGTGGAGTTTATTCTTTTGTTAGTATGTGGCTTAGTTTTGGCTGGCTTAAGTTGGAGTTCTTGTGCTCACTTGCAGTCGTATGACCTCTTGGGGTTGTGTTGTATATCTCATCTAACAACAACACACAACCTTATTTTGGGCCTCATCATTCCGCAGCCCATTAATCTTTTTGATGATACCAAAACAACACAAAGCCCAACATCTACTTCTGGTTGACTTTGTTTACTTCTCATTGCCCTTTTCTCGGTCAACTTCATCTTCTCCGACGCGTCTTCTTCTTTGACGCTTTGCTCTGTTCTTCTTCTCATGAAAGCATTCTCTTGTTGCAGGTGAAATACAGATGAATTTCTTGGAGTTGAATCTTTATTTAAAGATTAAATTGATGACTTGTTCAGCTTTAAATTGATGAATTTTACCCGTGGCAACTGCCCCTCTTCTACGACACGTACGTCCGCCCCTGAGTCAAGAGCTTGTTTTAATCAATTGGCTTTATTAGTTGACTCATGCTGCCATAGTGGACCAATACAGTGACTAGTTGACTCAGAAAGAGTCGTCACTTCGTGAAGTTATTTTAGCCAAAACACACAAAATTGAGACAAATAAAGATTGGCTGTTGGATATGAATAGTATTGGACTTCGTCAATTGCTAGATAAATATCTAAAATCTTTGTCTATATCACCACCTAAATGTCTTTCTTGGAAAATGAGGTAAAACATGGAAAAGATCTTCATTGGGCATTTGTCCTCCATACAATACATGGAATTCAATTTTTAGGGGGAATGAGACTCGAAAAGTCATCAATTCAAATTTATCCTTTCAAACAAAAAGAAAAGTCATCAATTTAAAGCTGAACAAGAGCAAGTATTGATGTTTGCGTTCTATGCTTCCATTGTTCTAGTCCCATAAATGGGTTCTGTTAATAATTGTGACATAAATTGTTCATTATATATTACTGTCTCCCGAGAATTGAGACAGTAGGTTTTTTTGCAAACAACAACAAAGATGAAGTAGTAGTTTAGTGTGCTGGTTCTAAAAGAAAAAAGGTCTAGGACCTGATGACATCTTTAGTTACACTCGAACGTTAGAGCATGATTATTGGTAGTATCTTAGAAATAAATCTTAGGAATATTTAAGTAATATATTTGTAAAAGTGATAGGTAAGAGATAGTATTTTTGGGTTAAGATTTTTGTGTGATTAATGGTAGGTTCTTAACATGTGGTTCTTAGAAAAAAAAATATTAATATAAAAATAAAATTTATATACTTTAACCAATCACAATGTGACACCTTGCAACATCTTAAGTTAAGAAAAACATCTTAACTTAGATACAAATCTTAGCTTTAAGATGTTGGTTTGATTATTTTTAATCAACTTTAATCCTAAGATTTGTCTAAGATACTCAACATTTCAACCGATATTTATGCTCTTATATCGCAAAATCTTTACTAACTAGCTTGAACATAGTCAATAGACAAACTCGCTCAAACTTTTTTTGTTTAGTAAAATGATTTAGCCAAGTGCAAGTAGACTAATAAAACAAACGTTAACTAGCTTAACATAATAAAAAAAAAATAGTTGAATAGAAAAATTATCTTAATCCAGAAATAAGATAAGAGATGACATTTTTGAATAAATGTATAGCTATTTTCGTGCTTCTATAGGTTCCATGGAGGCTTCTTGGATCATCCATCTTTGTTACCAGATATATCCTCTGAAAATATTGAAAATTCTTGTAGAGGCATTGTTGGAATTTGAAAAACAGGCCTAGGAGGGATTTCAAGAGCATCCAAGCTTCCTTCCATCATCTCTACAACTCTGTTCATCGGTGGGCGATCTGTGGGAGAAGGTTGAATACACCACAGACTCACCAATGTCATCTTCTTTATTATATCTTCTTCTTCGCAGATGATTCCATTCCTATTAAGCCTTCCATCGTCTCCCTTCTCAAGATCCTTATATATCCATTCAGGAAAGTACATTGTACTTGTGGTAGAAGCAGAGAATTGATTAGCGTTTTCTTTGTTCCTTGCACCAATCATATCAAGAACCAACATTCCATAGCTATACACATCTGACTTGTGGGACACATTCCCATAAACTCTGGAGATCATCTCTGGTGCAATGTACCCTATTGTACCTCTTGTGTCCAGTATCGACAAGATGCTCTCTTTCTTCTCACAGAGCTTAGCGAGGCCAAAGTCCGAAACTTTGGGGCAGAAATTGTCATCTAGGAGTACATTTTGTGGTTTAATGTCGAAATGTACAATCCTTGTCTTGCATCCATGGTGCAAGTACTCTAGACCACGAGCAACTCCTAGCGCAATACTATATAGAACCATCCAATCCAAATTCACCGAGCTCTTGCCTGAAATGAACTTATCAAGTGACCCATTTTCCAAAAACTCATATATAATTGCCCTTTTGGAACCTTCAGAGCAGAAACCAAGCAAGGAAACAATGTTTTGATGAGAAGTTCTGCTCATGCTCGCAACTTCATTAATGAAGTCTTCACCATTACCCTTTGACTTTTTCAAGACCTTCACCGCAACCATACGGCCGTCACCAAGTGTTCCTCGATAAACAATTCCAAATCCGCCTGTCCCAACCACTTCCTCAAACGACTTTGTAATTCTCTTCACTTGTGCGTAAGTATAGTGTTCGAGTGGGATAAGAGCCTTCAGGTTCTGTTGTCTCAGTCTTATTTTTCTCACCCGAAGAAAATGGAGAAAAAAGGTTAATAAAACAAGAAACAAAATAACCCCTGCTACTGAACCTGAAAGTGAAAACCGGAGACAATGTTAGATTTAGTAACTTTTTTATTGATTTAAGAATTGATAACAATTCATAGTCTCTCTGGCAAGTAAACTTACCTATGCGACTTCTATTGAAAAAATTCCCTGTATAACCATTAGAAAGTAATATTTCTCAGAATGGAACCAAACTTATCTCGAAATGGTTAAGATAAAAAGAAAGAAAAAAACTTAGTGAATATAATGGTTTACCATGACTACCCTTTCCAGAGCCACAATTGTTGCCATAAGTCCCATCCTTACAATAGCAGACAAAACTTCTTGTAGTCTGATTGTATCCACAAGCACCTTTAGATTCTATGCACCTTGAACAGTCTTGATTATGCTCAACCTGGAAACCCTTTTCAAGAGTCTTCTGTAGATTATCCTTCGACGCCGATCCATCCACTGGTATACTGACGCCTTTTTGGCAATTTCCCCTCAAGTTATCAAATAAAAAGCCACTACTTCCGTATAGTGAAGGAGATGAGAGGTTTCTCGTCCCATAGTAGTTTGTTATAGTTTTTTTGTCACCCTCACAATGAAGCTGTCCAAAGTAAGCATTAAGAGATGACCATTTTTGGCAGCTGTAATAAATTGTTAGCATCTCGGTGTGTGGAGCGAATGGAAGGACGCTGGTAAGGAATGATGCATTTTGTGCGTCTGTGGGACAAAGATTGTCAATATAATCCAATCTTGCGAGTCTTATGATACGAGAGTCATAGTTAGCTTCTAAGATTCTGTATGTCGCAAAGGAGATGGTTAGCTCTGCGAATCCTTTGCCACAATCAAGCTTGAAGTAGGGGTGGCCACAGTCTTGTCTGCCACGTACCCAGAAAGGGTACAAGAGACTCGTCTGATCGCCGCAGCGAAATGGTTCGCTGCAGCGTTCATAATGCTCATAAGCTGATTACAAAAAAAAAAAAAAACAATGTGAGATCACACAAAGCATCAAATAGTTACAAAGAGTAAAAAGTAAAAAGAATAAAAAGTAAAAAGAAGAAAATGAAACTTACTTGAGGAAGAACATTCTTCACACGTTGTGTCATCAGTATTCACCATTACCTCAACTCCTTCTCTTAGAACACTTTCCAGATGAGTTAAATTCAATTCTTTCACTTCTGGAAAATATGTCTCAGGAACGCTCAAAGTGAAATTATCTTGGCAGGATCTTTGATAAATAGGGTTTTGATAAGCTGAGACAACACCTCTCCCAGGAGGACATGTATAATTCGAAATGTAATGAAGACGAGGGTCGCAGTTATAGAAAATAGTGAGGTTCTTCAGTTTTGGAAGCTCAGAGAATTCGGGAGACATGGTTGTGGTTTGGAATGAAGCAGAGCAAAAAGAACCTAAAAAATCAGCTCTGACAAGTCTAAGAGTATTAGATGTTTGATTTATATGGAAAACATTGTACTTATGGTTTAAGATGTTTAAAGAGGTGATGTTTTCGTTGTTGCAGCGAAGCTCCAGCGATGCATGACCGCAAGGTTCAGGACGATTCCCACCCCAGAAGGGGAAACCAGCGGTGATGTTCCCACACTGAAACTGAATAGTCTCACACCACGCAAGTCCTTCTTTACTTAAAGCACAAGGAAGATGGTAGAATAAGGAGGAGAGAAAGAAAAACACCAGACAAGAAGTGGGGAGGTAGTACATGATTTTGTTGAGATTTACGAATGTGTGTTTTGTTTTCAGATGAATCAAAGAGAGAGAGAGAGAAACCAAGTAAAAGTGGAATAGTAAAGCTTTTTAATCAAAGTTTATAAAAACTTTTGTTGATATCACCTAAACGTCACCAAATGTGGATAGCTCAACTAGTAAAGTATCTTATGCAAAGCCTAGAGATCGTTGGTTCGAACGACATTTAGGAAGGAACTATATTAAATGTTCTTATCTTTGTACCTAGACCCAGAACCTCTTAGTTATTCTCAAAAAACAATCACCTAGACAAAAACATGAAAAAGATATCTTGATTGGAAATGAGAGGGACATATAGACCTACTTTTCAGAAACCTATTTTTCTTCAGCCATATAATATATGGATGAGTATAGAGGATTTAGAAGACCGGAAAATTCAACCAGTTTTAGAGTTGGAAAATTATCTTGATTGGAAATGAGAGGGACATATTGACCGACTTGTGAGAAAACGTGTTTGTCTTCATCCTTTTAACATATGGATGACCATAGAGGATTTAGAAGACAGGAAAATTCACCCATTTTAGAGTTTACCGTGACTGTAAAATTGAATTTTCCCCACTAAAATTGATCTTCCTTCAAGAGTTAACCAGATTTAGAGTTTGTCATGAGTCTTGCTATGAGAAGAAAGAATATGGTGAAGTTACCAATGAATTCCTCTCAAGGCAATCAAAAAATGCGAGGGTTACAAGCTTCGACGCGTTTAGTCTGTTGCATCATTCTGAATCAACTGTTTGCTGCTCAAATCGATGCGCAAGAATCTCGAAGTCCATGGCAGACGCTCAATGGTGAGAGTTGCTCTCTCTCTCTCTCTTTTTTTTTTTTTTTTGCCTTACTTCCAAGAAACTTTACTTTTGTGTGGGTTGTACTCAAATAACTTGTGATTACTTTATTTATTACCAGGTGATGCTCCACGTGTGATTGCTCGTGGTGGGTTTTCTGGAATGTTTCCAGATTCGAGTCTTGATGCTTACATTTTGGCGAACCAGACAAGTGGACAAGATGTTGTTCTATGGTGTGATGTTCAGCTAACCAAAGATGGGCTTGGGATTTGTTTTCCAGATTTAACTATGAGCAATGCTTCAACTATTGAAGGTGTTTACCCAAATCGCCAAAAATCTTACCCGGTTAATGGAGTTTCTACTTCGGGTTGGTTCACTATAGATTTCTCCTTGAGAGATCTCAAGGATGTGTTTTGTAAGTGTTTATAATTTAGTTAGTGGTTTCGTAGACTGTTAGAGAAACAAGAGTTTTCCTTGTAACTTCTCACAATGTTTTTTTCTCTTTTTATGTTAGTGATCCGAGGAATATTATCGCGATCACAAAGATTCGATGGAAATCGATATGCGATTTCAACGATTCAAAATGTAACCACGCAGATAAAACCAAAAGGTTTATGGTTAAATGTTCAGCATGATGAGTTCTACGAGCAGCATAATCTTAGCATGAGTAGTTTTCTTTTATCAACTTCAAGAACTGTTTCCATTGACTTCATCTCTTCCCCTGAAGTGAATTTCTTTAGGAAAATTGCTTGCGGTTTTGGGAATAATGGACCGAGTTTGGTGTTCCAGTTTCTCGGGAAAGAAGATCTCGAGCTGACAACAAATCGAACCTACGGTTCTATCTTGAGTAACCTAACTTTTGTCAAGACGTTTGCTTCAGGGATTCTTGTTCCCAAGTCTTATATATTGCCACTTGATGAGCAGTACTTGCTTCCTCATACATCCTTAGTTCAAGATGCTCACAAAGCAGGATTACAAGTATATGTGTCAGGTTTCGCAAATGATGTTGATATTGCATATAACTACAGTTTCGATCCACTGTCCGAGTATCTATCCTTTGTGGACAATGGCTATTTTTCTGTTGACGGTGTGCTCTCTGATTTTCCCATCACTGCATATGCGGCTATTGGTAAGCAAAAACTTTTCTACAGATACCATTGTAATTTGTCTGTAAAACATTACTAGAAGTACATAAAACCAGACATTTTCTTTTCATATTTCCTCAGACTGCTTCTCTCACATTGGCAGAAACGCTACAAAACAAGGTAATGAGTGTAAAAATACTTATAACATTTTTTGTTCTGCTCTTATTAATAAAACAAGAAACTTATAATTAACTTTATCATCTACCAAATGGTCCATGGCTCAGTGGATTTTCTTGTTATATCGAAAAATGGTGCGAGTGGGGACTATCCTGGATGTACAAACTTGGCATATGAGAAGGCAATCAAAGATGGTGCTGATGTTATCGATTGCTTAGTCCAAATGTCTAGCGATGGTACACCCTTTTGCTCAAGTTCGATCGATCTCACGGAAAGCACAACGGTCGCCCTAACTTTTTTTAGAAACCGTTCAACAACTGTTCCTGAGTTTAGCTCAGTTGGTGGCATATACACGTTCAGTCTCACATGGCCTGAGGTCCAGACCTTAACTCGTAAGTTTCGGTTCACATTTTCAAAAATGCTTCAGACAAAGCTAGTCTTCTCTGCATACTCTTATTCCTATTATTTATAGTGACTAGTAAGAGAGCTTCTGTTTCTAGTGACTAGTTAAAGAGGTTAAAGAGGTTAAAGAATTTTACGTATAAACTACAGGCCACTTTAGATATTACATAACTATTCTCCCATCTTTTTGTGTAGCTGCTATTGTAAACCCCTACAAGAGGTACAATATGTTTAGGAATCCGAAAGAGAGAAATTTTGGGAAACTTATTTCTCTTTCTGAATTCCTAAATTTGGCAAAAAAATCTACTTCTCTCTCCCATGTTTTGATCAATGTAGAGGTGAGTTCTCGTGGAGCTCCCACTCTTGATATTTTAACAAACGGACCATGATATCTCCTAATGGCCAGGCCGCTATACTTTTATTTTGTTTACCTCAGAATGCAGCATACTTGAGAGAGAAACAAGGGCTCGACATGGTTAAAGCGGTTCTTGATACACTCACAGATACTGGCTACAGTAATAGTACAGCCACAAAAGTAATGATTCAGTCAACCAACAGTTCGGTGTTAGTTGATTTCAAGAAGCAGAGCCAATACGGGACTGTCTACAAAATTGAAGAAACCATTGGTAATATTCATGACTCGGCCATCGAAGACATAAAGAAGTATTCTAACGCTGTTGTCATCAACAAAGATTCAGTCTTTCCTAATGCTAATTTCTTCCTCACTGGAGAAACCAATGTTGTGCAGAGGCTGCAGAAGTCTCAGCTCTCGGTTTATGTGGAACTATTTCAGAATGAGTTTGTCTCTCAAGCATTTGACTTCTTTTCAGATGCAACTGTTGAGATAAACGCATATATCTATGGAGCCGGTATCAATGGAACCATAACCGAGTTCCCTTTCACAGCTGCAAGATACAAAAGTAAGTGGTTCAAAATCTGCAGCAAAATGTCTCACAACATAAAATGAGTAATATCAGTGCCTAACTTTGTTTATCTTTTGCAAGGAATCGATGTTCGGGCAGAAAAGAAATCCCACCTTACATGTCCACTCTTAAACCCGGTAGCCTCTTAACTGTTGTGAGTCGTTCGTCCTTACCTCCAGCCCAAGCTCCAAACCTAATAATCACAGATGCTGATGTCATTGAGCCACCACTACCTCCGGTTACAGCAAAGGCCCCAACCTCAACCCTTGGAACTCCGTCAACCATTGCACAAGCACCTAGCGGACAAAACCGACTCACTCTGTCTCTTCTCCTCTCTGTTTTATTCCTCTGTCTTCTACTTCTGTGATCAACCTTTGATCTCATCTCCTCTCTGTTCATAATGTCTTCCAACCTCGTAAAGATTTCCCTGTGTGCATAATTTGTTTTTGTTGTTTTTCACCTGGCGAGTCTTTGTGAAAGCCGTTCTGTTTCTTTGCTCTGTCGAAACTAGGTTTCACAGAATACAATATCACAAGAGTACGAGACATACATAACTTTTTTGCCTCAAGCTCATAAACACGGCAGTCTTTTTGAGAAAAAAGGTATTTGACAATTTTTGTTTTCTATTGTAGGACAACCTCAAAGTTAGGCACATAGCATTTTCGCAGACGGACCTACTGAAAATAACACCCCAATTTCAGATCCAATTTTACTATTTGACTTTGACCAGCGGTAAGAGATCCGTAATGAACTTTTTTCCTATGTTTCAGTTTCGGAGAATCTAACATATTACAAGGATTTGGAGTGTGGAACAAGTCAAAGACCATTCCATGTATCTGTCAGTCATTTATGCTTCCTTGACTTGGTCCCAACACTCATTCCTGAATTTTATTCAACACAGTTACACAGAGAAAAAGATTCATGAAGATACATGTGTTATTCACGACGATTTTCTTATCACAAACTTGAAGATTCCAGATTTGAATTTGTGGAGCATATCAGTGTATCGGAGGCGCTTGAATTCTCCTCTGAAATCCAAAAAGATTCAGACAGCGGCGCAGTTGGAATTTGCTGCAAGACCGGTCTCGGAGGCACTTCAAGGGCTTCAAGGCTTCCTTCCATCATCTCTACTACTCTGTTCATTGGTGGGCGGTTTGATGGGGAACACTGAATACACCACAAACCCACCAATGTCATCTTCCTTGCTATCTCTGCTTCTTCGCTGCTGATTCCATTCTCGATAAGCCCTCCATTGTCTGTCTTCTCAATATCCTCACTGTCGGCCTTCTCAAGATCCTTATAGATCCATTCTGGAAAATATATTGAGCTTGCGTTCGATGCAGAGTTTTGATCAAATCTTTCCTTCTTCCTTGCACCTATCATTTCGAGGACCAACATTCCGTAGCTATAGACATCCGACTTGTGAGAAACACTCCCATAAACTCGAGAGATCATCTCTGGTGCAATGTATCCTATTGTACCCCTTGTATCCAACAATGATAAGATGCTCTCCTTCTTCTCGCAGAGTTTAGCAAGTCCGAAATCAGAAACTTTGGGGCAAAGATTATCATCTAACAGCACGTTCTGAGGTTTAATGTCGAAATGCACGATCCTTGTTTTGCAGCCATAATGCAAGTACTCTAGACCGCGAGAAACTCCTAGCGCGATCCCATAGAGTGCCGTCAAGTCTAAACTAATTGAGCTCTTGTCCGATATGAATTTATCGAGCGACCCATTACTCAAAAATTCATATATAATTGCTCTTTTTGAACCTTCACAGCAGAATCCAAGCAGTGAAACAATGTTGACATGAGAAGTTTGGCTCATGCTGGCAACTTCATTAATGAAGTCTTCACCATCAGTACCCTTTGAATCTTTTAAGACCTTTACCGCAACCATACGGCTATCACAAAGGGTTCCCCTATAAACAATTCCAAATCCGCCTCTCCCAATCACCTCCGTGAATGACTTTGTAATTTTCTTCACTTCCGCATAAGTATAGTGTTTGAGTGGAATAAGAGCCTTCAGTTTCTGTAGTCTCAGATCATGTGATGTTTGTCTCTTTCGGAAAATTTGGACTCTAAAGTAAGGGCATAGTAGCACTAGGAAAATAATAACAAGACCTGTTAATGAACCCAGAGCTGTAAAAAACAGAAAAAATCTTCTATTATTAACTTTTTAAAATCAAGGAAGATCGATAGCAATTTGAAATATCTCAGGGCACCACACTAACCTATGAGAATATACATGACCACATTTTCTGTAAAACCATGAATTAAGTAAAGATTGTTAGCATAGAACCAAATTTGATCTTGAAAAGGAACAACTTTTAAGGAACAATGAACTCAGAGTAGACAATGGTTAAGGGAAGATAACCAAAAAGAAAGTTACGCACTTAAGTATTGATGCCGACGAAAAAATCCTTTACCTATAAAATGGCCCAAAAAAAAAGTCGGTTAGAGCTGAACTTTGAAACTAAATGGATTTTCAGCGGCCAAAATCTTACCATCGTATCTGCATTTACCATCTTTACAATAGCACCCGAACCCACTTGAAGTCTGATTATATCCACAAGCACCGCCAGAAACTCTGCACCTTTCACATTCTGATGTAACTAAAAGCCGAAAACCTTGATCAAGAGCCATCTTCAGATTCTCTGGATTTGGACTTGTCTGCAGATCGTTTAACGCGGGTCCAGACGCAGGAACACTGACGTTTCTTTTGCACATTTCACTAAAGTTGTTCAAAACGCCTCTAAACCCGTCAAGTAAAGGAGAGGACAGGTTTCTCGTCACATAGTAACTTCTTCCCTCATCACAACCAAGCTCTCCAACGTAAATATTTGCAGGAATATCCGAGGAATTGAAACGACAACCGTAGTAGAAAGTTAGAAGCTCTGTCTCCCCAGTGAATTGGAGGACTGGAAGGAATTTTTCAATGAATGGCGCATTTAGTGGGTTTGCGGGACAAAAATCGCCAATATAATCTGATCTTGCGAGTCTTATCAAAGAGTAATATGCTTCTATGATTCTGAATTTAACAGAGGCGATGTTTATCTCTGCGAATCCTCCGCTACAGTTGAGCTTGAAGTTGGGGTGGCCACAGTCTTCTCTGCCAGGTTTCCACAAGGGGTAATTGAGATTTCTCTGACTGCCACAGCTAAAACTTTCACTGCATCGTCTATAAAGCTCATCAGCTGAAAAAAACAAAGATAAAGGTGAAAAAGAATAAGAGGAGAAAAAGCAAAGATAAAGGTGAATATCTTTGGTCGATGAAAAACTTACCACTAGGTTGATGTTGTGGTACGCAAGTAACTCCACCAGATGGTGAGGTTACGTTGCAGCAAACCTGTGTCGTACTGTTGAAACCACAGATTCCACGAGTGGATAAACATTCTTGACACGGTATCTCATCAATCACCAACTTCACCTCAAAACCTTTTCTTAGAACACTTTCCAAATTGGTCAAATTCAACCCTCTCTCTTCTGGATTGAAACTCGTTGGAACGTTAACTGTGAAACTGTTTTGGCAAGAATACTGGTAATCAAGAGTTTGAGACACTGAAAAAGTACCTAGATCCGGACATGTATAACTCGAGCGGTAAGAAAGCTTTGGATCACAGTGGTATGAAACGGTTAGGCTCTTGTAAATTGGGGAAAGCTCAAATATTTCGGGAGGCAAGGTTGTGGTATTGTATACAGAGGATGAGCAAAAGGAACCTAAAAGGTCTGATCTAGCAAGCGTAAGAATGTTAGAAGTTTGATTTAGTTGACGAACATAGAACTCTTGATTTGAGATGAATAGAGAAGTGATGTTATCGTTGCAGTGAAGCTCTAGCAACGGATGACCACAAGGTTTGTGACGATTCCCGCCCCAAAAGGGGAAATCAGCAGTGATGTTCCCACACTGAAACAGAGACTCACACCACCCAAGTCCTTGTTTACTTGAAGCACAAGGAAGATGGTAGAATAGGGAGAAGAGTAAGAACAAGATTGAATAAGAACTGAGAGGATAGAACATGATTTGTTTGATCAATGAACAGTGTGTCTTCTCGGTTTGATTTGTGTGGAGAGGTGAGGAGCAAGTGACATAGAGAGAGAGCGTGAGAGACAGAAAGAAGCCTAAAGACAAAGTAAAGGTCAAATTGTGGACAAATACATAAAACTAAAGAAAAAAACACGTTTTTAACGCAAAGAAGCCTAAAGACAAAGTCAAGGTCAAATTGTGGACAAATCTATATATATATTGGAAGAGTTGTCTCTCCATTTAGAGGGTCCACATCATCATCCAACTCATCATATTTTTATTTTAGGTGAACTCCACATATTTTATTTACTAAAACAAACATTAAAACTAAAATTAATTCACACATTAAATAAAAACAATAAGTGACAAAAATTAAATGAAATATTATGAGAAAACTGAATAAAAATGAATATACAACTTAAACTATGAAAATTATGAATAGAGATTGGATAAATATAAATTAGATAATTATATTTTAACATATGAATAAATATTTTAAAATAATTAGAGATAGGAAAAAAGAAACTTATCTATATTTTAATGGTACAACAATTATTTTTAAGAGTTACAATTATTTAGTAGAGTAAAGAAAATAAGAGTTAAAAAAGGTTTTTACTTAAAATAAAAAGCAATTCATTTATGAAAATAGACATTCAAAATGTGAGTACCGATTAAAAAATAAGAAGGATTTAGGACATATTATTATTTATAATTATAATATAATATAAATAGTTAAATTAATAAAATTTTCTAAATTAAAAAAGTGGTGCTTTGTTTTAAAAAAATGAATACCTAAATATTAAATATTAATCAGTGTTAAGGAAATTAACATAGATTGAAAAAAACTAAGGTGATTTGAAATAAAACAAAAAAACTATCCTAAACATCACAAATACAAATAAAATAATCTTTTAGAATAATAAAACTATGTAATAATAATATATGAGAATGCTATTTGAAAATTAGAATAGTAATGGTAGATTGAAGAGTTTTTCATTAGAAATAAGAAGGATTTTGTTTATTTAAAAAATAAATGTATTTTAAATTAGAATAATTTTTATGAGTTCGTAAGTGTTACATTTTAGAAAAGTCAACATTAAGAATACTATATGGAATCATAATATACATTAAGTTATATATGTAGAAAGAGAATTTTGTATCTTTCAAATGGCCAAGACAAAGTCCAAGATAAAGAGACTTGTTGTCTATAACAAACATCTCCCCAGATTTCTGTTTCCGATATTCACTTTAATAAAAAGATCATGAAAGTTATAAAGAAAATGAGTAGTGAAAGATATGAAGGAGAAATAGATATGATCTAAGGATAAAAGAGAGTATATGCCAGGAGACGACGAGTGAATCATAGAAGATAACGAGAAAAATTATAGTGAAAAGTGTGAGAATTTTTTTACTACTTTGAAAAGATAATGCACATGAGTAAAGTAAAATATTTTAAAATTTAGTTGATTATATTTATATTTAAAAAATAGAGTTTTATATCAAATCCCGCGCAACGCGTGGGTACACATCTAGTACATAAAACTAAAGAGAAAAACACGTTTTTAACGCTCAAAGTGTTACGGGGTAACATTTTAAATCTCGAAAGAATTTCACTAATACTATAAACCATCAAGATAATTTTAGTAACACTTTAAGCCTCCAAACTAGTTTTTTTGTTTGTCCACCATTAAAAATGATGGAAAATTTAATTTATATTTATTTAATATACATTTATTAAATTAAATTTAAATTTAATTTTTTAAAAATATTTATTACAATTTATAAAAATCTAAAAATACAAAAAAAAACTTCACCTTCACACATTGTTCACCTCTTTTAAATAAATTTTATTAGTTTTTTTTTTCTTTTTTGAATAACTAAGAAGTTCCGGGCCTAGACACGTACATTTCCTCGGGCCTAAACCGGTATATTTCTTCAGGCTAAAGACAAATGTATTTAGGGCCTGACTGGTTTAAACGCAGTGGATGCGGTTACGATTGCGAGAGTTTGAGGAAGCGGGCGGTTGTGGTTTCAAGCGTTATTAAGTATTTTGAACTACTGGTTTAGGTGTTAAAAACTGGTCCATTTGCTGGAGTTGTATGACTGAATAACCAGCGGGTGTGACAGCGGTTAAATCGAAAATGACCAAAGTAAATATTATCTAAAATTATAAAGTATAAAAACACCAAATATTTATATTATTATGATAAAATATATTAAAAATTGACATATATTTAATTATAAAAACCATATATAACGTTCTACATAATGATTTAAAAATAAATGACCAAAATAAATATTATCTATAATTATAAAGTATAAAAACACTAAATATTTATATTATTATGATAAAATATAAAAAAAAATTGACATATATTTAATTATAAAAACCATATATAACGTTCTACATAATGATTTAAAAACAAATAAATTTCATAGTTAAATGCTTATTACTTCATGCATTTAGTTTATCACAAAAAACTGAATCAAGTAATATGACAAACTACAAAGAAATATGTTTTAAATTCTTAGACCTTCCAACTTATTAATATTATTACAATACTTTTGTTCGTATCTTGCCATTCTTCAGTTTGGATTGACGTCATAATTTTGATAGAGAAATTTTTTTTAGAGTTAGAAGAATTAACGTTAATATATATAGGGTCTGATGATATTTTTCAAAATTTATTTTTTTGTTTATTTTTTTTTTTTTTGTCAACCGCTACCGTCCGCAACCACAAACGCTTGTTTTAAACGATTTAAAGCAATTTCTATGATTTGTTGTAAACGCTAGCAACCGCAAATATCTGCAAAGGCTGCGTTTGCGGGTGATAACGGGATACCAATCAAACCCTTAATATGGTTTTCTACCAAATACAACTAGAACTAGTGACCAACTTTATTAGTTTACTCTGGAAGACTATGCTAAGTTTTTTCTAAACCAAGATACGAAATGGAGATAGTTAAAATAGATAAAGAATGGTCATTAGCTGGTGAAGAAGAAGAAAAGTAACAAAATAAAGTTGGTCGTTTAATAATAAGTCAACTAAATGTATCACCTAAATGTCTTTTCGTAAGAAATTTCTTGGAAAAAATTTCTCATTGTGAAAGAAAGGGACTTGTCGGAAAACCTATACCATACTTTTTTTTTTTTTTTTCCTATACCATACTTTCATATATGTTTTTCTTCATCTTTTTAATGTAGGGATCATAGAAGACTTGAAAAGTCAACAACTTGATTACCTTTTCATAGCAACATCGAAGACATAAGTTACAACTCTCTCTATTCAATAAGTTACCGTTTAAGAAAAACTTGAAGCCTCTTCACTCTCAAGTTATTCACAAGTTGCAAAATATTCACACAAAAGTGCTCTGTTTTTTTCCTCCATGTTTTGCTGTTGATAAGAGGAATGTGAAAAGCTAGTAAGATGATTAGTTAGTTGGTTAATATTTTGGGGGGGGGGGGGGAAACAGAACAATATTTTTCTAAAATGATTTACATATGGAGTTTTATGCCATAACGAAAAATGTATGTGTTCTATTTCTTTATGTGAATAAAATTAACAATTACACCAAATTGGTTTGCTCACACATTTTAAGATTGTGATTTCCAGTTTATGGATCATTTTATACCTCGGAGGTGATTGAACTCTCCCCTAACATTCCAAAAGATTCAGAAAGCGGCGCTGCTGAAATGTGCTGCAAAACAGGCTTCGGTGGGACTTCAAGAGCATTCAAGCTTCCTTCCAACATCTCTACAACTCTGTTCATTGGTGGGCGGTTTGATGGGGAAGATTGAATACACCACAAACCCACCAATGTCATCTTCCTAACTATCTCCTCTTCTTCGCTAGTGATTTCATTCTCGACAAGCCGTTTATTGTATCCCTTCTCAAGATCCTTATAAATCCATTCAGGAAAGTACATATGAGCTTGCAGAGTCTTCTATGGATGTTTTGTTCCTTGCTCCTATCATCTCAAGAACTAGCATCCCATAGCTATATACATCTGATTTGTGGGAGACTCTCCCATACATTCTTGAAAACACTTCAGGTGCAATGTACCCTATCGTTCCTCTTGTGTCTAGTAGTGATAAGATGCTTTCTTTCTTCTCACAAAGTTTAGCGAGGCCAAAGTCTGATACTTTGGGGCAAAGATTGTCATCTAACAAAACATTCTGTGGTTTTATATCGAAATGCACAATCCTTGCTCTGCACCCATTGTGCAAATACTCCAGACCGCGAGCAACGCCTAGCGCAATCCCATACAGTGCGCCCCAGTCCATATTTGATGACTTTTTGCTTGAGATAAATTTATCCAAAGATCCATTTTCCAAAAACTCATATATAATTGCTCTTTTGGAACCTTCATAACAAAATCCAAGCAGGGTAACAATGTTTACATGAGATGTTCTGCTCATACTTGCAACTTCATTGATAAAGTCTTCCCCATTGTCTTTTGAATCTTTCAAAACCTTCACCGCAACCTTGCGGCCATCACAAAAGTTTCCTCTATACACAACCCCAAATCCTCCTTTCCCAACTTCATGTCTGAATGACTTTGTCATTTTCTTGACCTGTGCATAACTATAACGTTTCAGTGGTACAAGTGCTTCAAGGTTTTGCTCTCTTACACAGCATGTTTTCACTTTTTGTAACATCAGTGCTATGATTACCAAAACAATCACAAGTCCTCCTCCCATTGCACCTAAAAGATCAAGAAAACTATAGTGAGTTACGAATTCTCAATCACGCAAAGTCAACACGCTTTGAGAATCTCTGAGAAGGAAACTAACCAATGATAATCTTCATCCAAACGTTCCTGGCTCCTGTATTTGAAGAACCTGCAGTATGTTACTATGTTTATTTTCCGTTGGTAACGGTCCTACTCAAATTTTTACACTTTGTATAACAGATATTTAGTTGGAAGGTATTAAGGATTTACTACAGGGTTGCTTAAAAACCTAGATCCACTAAATGAATAGTTTACTTCATTAGGTGAATGCAGACTGTTGTTACTCACCTTCGTCGTAGCACGGAATATTATGAGGTTTTTCAGAGCAGAGACACCGAAAATTGCCAGATACTAACTCGGAACCGCATACTCCACCACTAACCAAACAACCTCTGCAAGATTTATCGTCTCTGATGTTGTACCTTAGATCAAACCCCTTAACCACAGCTTCCTCCAATGTTAGAATTGACCGCAGAAAATCATCCAGAACAGAACGAAGAACTGGACCTTCTCCCAACTTTACGCAGTCCCTAAAAGAATCTGAGGGCTTAAACGCGTAATATGTTACTATTTCCCCGTTGCTTTTTCTGCAAGTAAACGACGAGAGCGGATTTACCATCTGAGGAGCAGGACAAATGAATAGGTCAATCTTCCCGACTGTAGGAGCGATTGTGAACTGATTGGTCTCCGTGAAGTTTAGGGATATGCTTGAGCATCGACCCTCGGACAAACTCTCATCGGCAACGGTTAAAGTTTGATTCTCCAAATCAAAAGAGATTACTTGAAGAGAAAGGTTTGTGAGAACTAAAGTTAGGTTTTTGTTGTTCTTGCAAGAGAGTTGAAACTCTGTTTGGCCGCAATAATTAGGTTTATTTACTCCCCAAAAAGGATATGTGACGTTTGGCAACAGCGTCGGACCCTGGCCACATCTCAGAGGTTCAAGGCACTCCTCGTACTGTTTGTCGGCTGAGAAGCAAGACGAGACCGCCGCTAGAAAAACTGCGACGGCGAATCTCAAGATGAAAGAAGTGGTGGTCTTCATGGAACGGTTGACCAAGAAATTTAGTTCTGTTTACTAGGTTAATGATAAGCTTGGTTTGAACCAAAACAAATTTGGTAACCTTGGTCTTATGTTAAATAAATAAAACGACTAATTCGTTATACGTTATGACGATTACTTCTTCTTTTTTCTTTTTTTTAGTAATAGGAAACTTACTGTGTACAATCTGTGATAGGTATAACCAAAGTGTATAATATTAAATTATCCTAAAGAAGATTTCAGGCGATAACAACACAAGGAGAAGAGGAGGCATAGGGCCTGAAGAGTAAAAACTGTAGAAGATTGTTTCGCAAGGACCGTGGAGAGAAAAAGAGCATTTGAATTTTTTGAAGTTGTTTCCATTGCTTTGAAACCAGAGGAGGAGACTTTTCGTGTTGATACGTTGGAGTTTCTACAGGATTTTCTGGATCTTTCTTGGCTATTGTGGTTCGTCGGCGGCGATGGCCAAAGACTAACACTTGTGTGATGAAAGAAAAGCGTAGGGCTCAAGGTTTAAAAATTAAAGAGGGTTTCTGAACAAAACAATAATCGCAAATTACAGAAATATTGTGGAGTACCATTTTTCCGCTAAAACGGAAAACCACGGAATTACGTTTATCCGCCAAAATTTTGTGATCGTAATGTTTATGAAAAGTTGTGAAATAATTCTTTCTCACCAAAACTGCAAAATTATGAAATCACGTATTTTCACCAATTTTGTAAAATCACAATCTGTGATTTTGTTTGGCTAGAAAACATGATTATGCGGTTTTATCACACACAAAAAATCCGTGAATTCACAATTTTAGATGAAAACACAATTTCACGTGTTTGGGAGAAAAACACGATTCGACGATTTCTTTTTTAAAATAAAATCATTTATCAATATAACTATTATATAAATAGAAATTTGTAAATGTATAATATTAATAATTTGAAAATTATTTACTGAGGTGTTTACCTTCAAACTAATACAAGAATTGGGCCAATAATAAGAGCCTACTTAAAATGATATGGACTTTATCTAACATGGATTTAATAAGAGATTGACAAATAAAAACAATCCATCAGGGACTGAGTCAATCTAATTGTAGTAGGGTTCTTTTTCTTTTCTTCTTTTGTCATTCATAGATATTGCCATATTGGGTTTCTAGTTTTCAACAAATGCGTTGAGAAGAATAGTTCCATAAATATTGTTAGTCCAAATTTTAGGTGTCAATATCAACAATAAACTTTCTTTTTACTAATAAATCGAAGCTAGAGTGAAGAAATATGCATTTTGGTATTGTAAATTCACGAATTTCAAGGTATAGGAGAGAAACCATAAGCATATATAAGTTCACAATTCAAACTAAAAAGGCTTTAACAATGCCTTTTTCAAAGATGGGTAATCTAATAAACCTTCTACCTTTGATGATTTGATCACTCATATTTACGTGATTTATATATTACTAGGTATACACTTTGATTTGATCACTAAGAACATCAGAGAACAACTACATGTTATGTACTATACATGTTCTGAGTTCGAGAAGAGTTTTGGACCAAAAGACACGAAACCTGCCTACAAAAATTTTAAATGACTGCAAAGATATTTGTAAAACTTAAGATGCTTTGCGTGAGGGTAGACAAAAAGAGGCTTGTCAAGCAAAAAGTAGACATAATGGATGAAATAATTAGTGTCATGAAGTATTTGTCTAGAACGTGAACATCTTTCTTCTCTACTTGAAATCCCTTAGCGAAAGAGACATAAACAACAATAAACTTTAAAGTAAAAGAAACCAAATATTGAGACAAAATCTTGTTAAAGTGTAGATTAGGTAAGAGATTCACACTGCAAGAAGCCAAATAAGACATTGCAACGTAAAAGGTCCTGATTTTTGTTTCACCACTATCACATAGTTTTCCTTCTACGTTGAACTAAAAAAAAATCATAAATCTCCCGACGATATAAATGTTTACTGACAGTATTTACGTGATACATGAGCAGTATTGACTATTGTCAATTTTTCATATAGTCGCAAGTAGCAAAATATATTTTGTGACAAATTAATAGCAAACTGAGTTACCATCATTTCATCACTAATTAACCTATTAAAATTAGCGACGAAAAAATAGTACAACATTTAAAAAAAAATTACTATAACGATTGTTAACACCATAGCAAGCGTGGTTACATGAGCCTCTATCAAACTCTAATATTCAATATAACACTCCGTGTATTTCAAGAAGATAGATTTTTAAGGTTTTGTTCACATATTAATAAACTTTTTACAAAACCTAATATACCTTTATTCTAAAAGTAAATATTAATTGTTTTACTTCGATTAACTCTAGATAATATCTAATAATGGTAAAGCCCCCTGACCAGCTTGTTAGGACTATCGATCGGCTAGTCCGTAATAGTCTCTGCGCACTCACACAACGTGGGGTTTCCAAGTTGAAAGACGGGCTGCAATTTAGTCCGTTATATCTCTGCGCACTCGCACTAATATTAGAGTACTAGAAAGTTGCCCACGCGATGCGTGGGTTATGCATTCAGTTATTTTGTATACAGATCGAAGTTTACATAAAATAATATATGGAAAGTACATTTGTATTGTTATTATGTTTTGAAATTAATTTAAATATATTCAATTTTTGAAGTATTTTTGTGAATAACTAAAAAAAGACAGTTTAGAGCTCTAGCTTTGTAGAAGTATCTTTGTTTTGTGAATTGGGGCAAATTTCATTTGACCGCCTCTGGCAACCATTGACCTTGGCACGGCTCTGTAGATAATGAGTTGAGTTAGGGGCTAGGTTACCCATTTTGACACCCCTATATACGCATTAATCTGTTTATTAATAACATGATGTTAAATATTTATTTTAAAGTGTAAAAATAAAACAATATAAGACAATATGACACATATTGCTAAAAAAAAATATATTAGATCGAACATCTTATATATGTTAATTTCAACTTTAAAAAGATAGTAAAATATGTTTTTATATATATAATCTCGTAGTAATTATTGAAACTGCTAAAACTATTAAATATATATTTTCTGCAATTTATACCACATTAATAAATAAAAAATTCATAATAACTTATCTTAAAGAAAGAAGAAATAAAATTTGGCACATGTGTAGACTATGTTTTCATAGTAATTTATTTTATATATGTGTAGCATGTAGGATATCTTTTTCGAAAAATTTATATGAGATTCGGAATTCTAATAAGTGATTATGAAAAACTGAGTAGCTATTTAAATAGCTCACAATTCATAATCATATATAAATATATGAAAATAGAGGGTGTTATTGTGTTAATCTTATGTTGATGAAATACATGATAGTAAATTAGTATTTAAATGTAACATTAGAAAATGCATAAATTATTAATTATAATTATGGGAGTTACACACATTGAATGGAGAAAATATATCATACAATTTATATTATTTAGGTTACAATTTAGTATTAAAGGGTGGATTAATGTATATGATTAAATGGGTTATATTTGTTGTTTGATTAGGGATAAATAAAGCCAATTTTATTAAATAGCATAAGAATTACAGTTATATTTTAAGGAATTAAATATGATAATATACAATTAGAATTTAATGATAGTTTTGTAAAAATATAATTTTAATACTATTAATATTTATGTTTGAAAAAAAAACATTTATGTTTGAAAAACTATATGCCATGTCGTTCTCTCTTGAACGATCTCCAAACCAATTGTTGGGTTGGGTTGTTCGTGAATAGACTCAAGAATTTGAACCACCCATCTATACAATAATTGTCACACTGTAAAAAAAATAAAACTATATTATTTTTAACTATACTTCATATCCATTGTCAAACTATCTATTTTTGAATTAGACTCTTTTCATTCCCATTTTTTTTTGTGCAATAAATTTTTCATTAATAACTATAAACGAAAGATAGATAATCAAATTTTTGTGCGTTGGAAACAATATAAAAATAAACAAACACAAACTAAACCTGGAAAGAATGACATCTTACCTCGAATATTTTAACTGACTTTAAGATAGTCACCACCTTAACATATGACTTTCGAAAATATTAAAAAATATCCAGATCTACAAACATAACATAAGAAAGAACTGACAAAAAAAAAGAATACGCAAAAAAGAAGAAAAGAAGATTAGAAACTATTAAGTGAATAGAAAAATGTTACAAAATTTGTGGGGCTTGAAATATGATGGTTAGTATTGAACATGTCGTACTATTTATAAAAAAATTATATTGTCAAAACAATAATAAATTGCTTTTAATATTATATATGTGAATAAAATTAATTGTAGTTTTAGCATCATGAGCTACGTTACATTTGTAGAATTAAATGTGTTATACAGTAATTAACTGTAGTTTTCAATTAGACATAAAATTAAGTATCACACGTTACAGCTTTGTTATTTTTGGGCTAACTTTTTTTTTGGTGTAATTTAAAGTGAGTTGTGTATTCTTTCTGAGTGATATATCAAAATAATCTAAGGACACTTAATAATCTTTCTTAGCAGTTACATGTGTATTAATGTCATGGGAGTTTTTTCTGTGTGTTTTTGCCTTTTTGGTCAAATATGATGGGAGTTATGGTTACATTTTAAGGAATTAATATGCCAATAATAGGAATTAATGTTTAAACAAAACACATTTTCTGTCATGCATTTAAATAAACATATATAATTGATTATGTGATTAACATTATCTTATTTGGTATATTTTGAATAATTTCTTGTTTATGAGATTTCAATTCTTGAATTAGTTTTTTTCTTACACATGTTCTTTAAATTTTGAATATCTTATGCAGTATAAACTAATTCTAAAATAGATTAGCTGTTGTAGTAATTATTTTTTAGACTATTGATATAATAGAAATTATTATTAGACGATCCCAAAAGAATAGAATAGAATATATTATTGTGAAATAATTTAATGTTTTATTTATTATTATTATGATGATAAAATATAAACAAATATATATATGAAGCCAAAAAAATAATCTAAGGAACAAATATATAAAATTATAGGAAAATATGGTATATGAAGCCAAAAAATATATAAATGATTTACACTAATATGGCATAAAGTTGGTCTTTACATATACACTGTAGATAATAAATTGTATCAAAGAAAAAATTCTAAGATTTTAGTGTAGATAATAAATTGTATGAAAGAACAAATTCTATGATTCCAATATTTTTAATTATTTTTGCATTTAAACTTTTTATATATTTTAATTGGTGTATATATATATAAATGTAGGGATATTAAAGAAGTGGTATGAAAGAAAATTTTTCCTATTAAATGTCATAATAAAAAAAAAATATGTGCCACATGTCGTAAGAAGAAAGTGACAAATGTCGTGATAATAGAGCTCCTTACAGAAAAACTTTGTCATATTATATAAGATAACTCTTATTTGATTCATTTTTAATTTTTTATTCTATTAAATAATTTTATTAAAGGCTGCATATAATGTAAACATGGTTTCTTTTGTTGAATAAATTTTATATTCATTAAAAAAAATAAGAGTAAAATTAGAATTATTACATAAAATTTAGGATATACAAAAGAAGATGAAACAAAAAAAATTAATTATATACTTATATATATATATATATATCTTTATAAAACGGAGAGGATAGTAATTAGCATGTAGTACATATAGATATAGTGACCATGAAATTAAAATACACAAGAAAAGAAAAAAAATAAGGTAGTTCAGGTAGATCAATCAATTGTATTGCAGATGTAAAGGAAAGATAATGATTTTGGTTAATTCAATTGTCAACTAAACACAAACTCGCAAAGTGTGAAGAAGACAAAGATTGTGACAACTAAAGTTTCCAAATATCCTAAAAGCAAAGGTCATGCATGAGTTCAGGGGGGTAAGGAAGTATAAGCTTAGTTAATTAATCAACTATTTTACTTAATTTAAAAAGGGTTTAATCAATATAAAGTAATAATAATAGCATTTAAAAAGGTTTAATGATCAAATCAGGTTTGTAGTTAGTAAGATTCGGGAAGATCTTGCCATGTCTAAACAAATACTTAATTTCAACGTCAATCACGCCAACACTTTAAACTTGATGTTAATCTATTGTTTATTAAAGTATTTTTGGTGGGACCTCAATTATAACCTGATTAATCATACACAAATGCATAGATCATTATATTAAGTGGGTAGATCAAAGATCTATTCAATAGAATTGTAATCTTCTAATTATTTCTACAAACTAAAAACCATATAGTAAGAGAAAATTCCTTTATGTCCAATCAACTAATTGAACGGTTCAAATCCCGTGACATAGTTGAAAACTTAAACAATGATGAGATTATGTATATGCTTATCTATACTAAACTATATAATATACGATTAATTCTTTACGAGGTATGTAGACCAACCTATCTTTTATATTATTCTTACGTCTATTATGTGGTACACGCACACATATGTGGTTACATACAATCATTTATACATGTATGTATATACCAATTTTCTAAGAATTATTAAAGATGTATTAAAGAACCATAAAACTCGGAAACTTAAACATTAATCCTATATATAAAAGATTGTAAACTATGTGGAAACATGCCATAAGCACTCCATAACAAAGTGAGTGGACCAACCTAGACTCCATAATTGTTTTAAATCTCATCTTAATTATATAAATATATGCACATGCAAACTTAAGCTTGATCTCATTTGAAGTCTTTAATCTCATCTTTCCATTTTCAAGAAGACTTTTAAATCTGTCTCTCTCTCTCTTCCTATCTCTCTCTTTGTACATACATACATATATGGCGACAGAAACATCTTCTTTGAAGCTCTTCGGTATAAACCTACTTGAAACGACGTCGGATACAAACCGGTCGTCCGAACCAAGATCCGGACCCGGAACTGGATCCGAGTCACGTAAGTACGAGTGTCAGTATTGTTGTAGAGAGTTTGCGAACTCTCAAGCTCTTGGTGGTCACCAAAACGCTCACAAGAAAGAGCGTCAGCTTCTTAAACGTGCACAGATGTTAGCTACTCGCGGCTTGCCACGTCATCATAATTTTCACCCTCATACCAATCCGCTTCTCTCCGCCTTCGCGCCGCTGCCTCACCTTCTCTCTCAGCCGCATCCTCCGCCGCATATGATGCTCTCTCCTTCTTCTTCGAGTTCTAAGTGGCTTTACGGTGAACACATGTCGTCACAAAACGCCGTTGGGTACTTTCATGGTGGAAGGGGACTTTATGGAGGTGGGATGGAGTCTATGGCCGGAGGGGTTAAGGCTCACGGTGGTTCTTTGCCGGAGATGAGGAGGTTCGCCGGAGAGAGTGATCGGAGTAGCGGAGTCAAGTTAGAGAATGGTATTGGGCTGGACCTCCATTTAAGTCTTGGGCCATGAATGAATTTTATTCTGGCCCAGTAAAAATATGTAAAATACTACTCGGATTTCATTTCTCTAGAGTGTTTTTTTTTTTTTCCTTAATTTCAGTTGAAATTAGTGATTATTTTTTTCTCACTTTACCAAATCTTATATTCTATGTATGCGTTTGCTTTCACCTTTTTTATATTCTTCTTGTAAAAATGCAATGTGAATTTTCTTCCTTATCATTCTGTCAACTTTGGTTCAATTATTTAGTACTCGAAAAATATAGAAATAGTGTTGAAAGAAGTTGATGCTAGTTTGTGAGATGCATACCAAGTCGATTTCAGTTTTCAATAGAGGCTGTTTCCCAAAAGGGTATAAATTCATCAAAGGGTTTTAACTTACGTGGTAGACTATGATAATGCTTCGGTTATGTTGCAAAACAATCGAAATTTTACCACAATGTATGGTATGATGTACGCCCGGTTGGACATTTGTGATGTTGTTAGCTTGGTAAGTCGCTACCAGTCAAAGCTCGGGAAACTATAGGTTATTCTTTATATTATCAAGGAAGTGATCGCCTCTTGACGGGTTATACAAATATCGACTAAATTAGCGGTTTTTACGAGTGTAAAACGATACTAAGAGAGGTTTTTTGTTGAGTAATTGTGCTATTACTTAGTAGCAAGAAGTAATCGTTTACTGCTTTCATCCAAAATGGAGGTCAAGGTTTTAGCTTGTTTAACATCAAATTGAGATGATGTATGGCTGAGGAGGTTCTAACAAAGCTTACATGTCACAATGGATGATCTCATGTACCATTGAAGGACAAAGCATATCGATATCCACCATTATTTTTTTGGTTGGAGCATACTCATCAATGTTTCCTTGCCTCAAGAGTTGATCAAATCATTACAACATGTACATGTAAGAAATAAATTTCCTTTCTGGATATGTGTCGGAAACTGCTGACTTAATAAGAGTTTTTGGTTTCTTCTTTTGGCATCTTTGAGTCTTGACTTTAGAGAAATGTGAGCAAGTAACTTTTCTGCAGTTGGATGAGATTCTTATAGAACAGGACGAATCAGGTTCAATCTCTCCCAGTTTTCTTATTTCAAACCCTGATTTATTCACCGCGTAGATCCTTAAGTCTCGGAGAGGTATGTTCCTTGTTATTAACTTCTACTATGGTATTGTGTTCTACTTATAAAATCACTCTCTAACTTCTATGGTACTGGATTTTTTTTTGGTGTGTTAAATAGATTATGACTCTTCTGGGATATATGTTCTCTTCAAATACTCACTTGACAGACACTTTCTTGAAGAAACAAAGTTGATTATGGAACAACTACAAATGGAACAGAACTCAAATTATGTATAGTCGATTTATCTTTTCACAAAAAAAAACTAAAGTTGATTTTGCACAAATTATAGAAATAATCAAACTTTTTTATCATCCTCATAAGCTTAAAAACCAAAAAGAACAAAATCAAGCCGTTAATCGAAGATCCAATTTCAACATAACAACACAAATTGTCACCATAGAGACATCAGACATCATCCATCTCCACATTCATCGATAAAACTTCAGAGCTTGTCAGAAATTCAAAGATTTGATCGAGATCATCAAACTCTTGATAGCGCCCATCGAAGTTTCCAAGTACTAAACCATTGTTGTTGCTATTGTCAGAAACCGCTAGGGTTTGCTCTTCCGTGTTCTTATGAAACCCTTCGAAATTCACAGTTACATCATCTTGAGTGCAAACACTTGCAGAACACGTTTGAAGATTTAGGGTTTGCTTTTGATGATCAAACTCTTGATTGCACTCATCGAACTCAAACTCGTCAAAGATTTGATCGAGATCAAACTCTTGATTGCACTCATCGAAGTTTCCAAGAAAACCGTTGTTGTTGTTGTTGCTGTTGTCAGAGACCGCTAGGGTTTGTTCTTCCGTGTTCTTATTCACAGTTATATCATCTTCAACGCAAAAACTTGCAGAACACGGTTGAAGATTTAGGGTTTTCTGTTGATGATCTCTTTGCTTCTCCAACTCCTTCAGATCTCGCAACATCTTCGACATTGAATCCATCGCATCTCTCAACTCCTCCAGATTCTCTGATCTGACAAGACTCTCATCTTCCCACCAAAACCCTAACTTTTCATCACAAGGACGCTGATTCGCCAAAAAAGCAGAGACAACACTATCGACAGAGGAGTGGCCAAAAGTGTAGAAAGAGGCATTGGAATTAGAAGAAACAGGAGTTGCTATAATCGCAATCTCTGCGTCGGAGAGAAGACAAAGCTCAGAAGCTTTGCTATATAGACCCTTACGACGTTTTGAGAATGAAACCGCTCGTGAATCTTTCTTCTCTATCTTCTTTATAGCAATCTTCCTCTTCAAGCCACCCATTATGTTTTTCTCAATTTCACAAACAAACGAGAACGAGACAAGACTGAGATTTTTGTGTTTGCTTGTTGTGAAAGAATATGATAATGGACTCACTCTGTTTCTAATCAGATATATATAGACTTAGGTCCTAAACTCAGCTTCTAATCAATCGTTGTTATTTCCTTTTTCTGATAGTAATTAAACGACTAAGTAAAATTGTTTTCCTTTTTCGAAAGTAATTACTCAAAACCAAACGAACCAAGGCTGGTTCAGTTAAACCAATTTCCTTTTTTCTGATAATCGATCCCCTAATCATCTGCAAATTGTTTCCTTTTCTAAAAGTAAATTACTAAAAACCATCTGCAAATTAACCAGTAAACCAATACGCAAATTCTCTCTTTAACCGGTTTGGTCAACGATCACTAAAATAAGACCGTTAAAAAGGGTAAAAGCGTCAATACAACAATATATTTAGGAGCCTCTCTCCTTCTCTTTGTTCAATCAGACCGTTACGAATCAAAAAAAAAAAAAAGTTTTTAACTTTGTGAGGAAGAAGAAGACGATACAGTAATGGAGGATACAATCTCAAACCCTAGTATGGAATCTCTGTTTTTTTCCGTTGATTCAATATCCGAAACCCAACAAAAACTCAAGCTTTTGGTTGATAATGGTGATTACGGATTCGAAAGAGGATCTAGATATGGAGAATACGCGAGATTACGAGAATCGAAGCTTCGAATGAAACGAGACTTCGAGAAGATTCTTAAGGAAGAGGAATTGAGATTTGGTTTCACAAGAGAAGAAGAAATCAGAGTTTTGCCGGAGAAGAAGACTAGATTCGGATTTATTCAGAATCAGAGGAAAACGTCGTCGTCTTCTTCGTTGGCTCAATCGGTTCCTGATTTCTCTGCTATGATTCGTAAAGAGAATCGTCGTCCACCGGTTAATTCGAATTTGCTTCCTCGAAGAACAGAACTTACTCCACCGCCGATGAAGAGTAGAAACGCTGCCGTTTTCGCTGGATCGGTGGTTAGAGGAAGTGTATCAGCGAGTGCTGGTGAGAAGAAAGGTATTGGGATGATGCGTAAGAGTTACGCTGCTGTTGATGATCTTAAGAAAATATCTATGGCTGCTGCGACAGCTATTAACGGTGGTGGAGGTAAAAGGAAATCTATCGGCGGCGGCGGAGGTGGAGGAGGAGGAGGAAGGAAATCAATTGGTGGTGGTGGTGGTCGGACTATTCTAGGTTACAGACAAATTTACTGATTCTTTGATCCTTGTTGTGTCTAAAATCTAACATTTGTCGCTCAAAGTTTGGTTTTTTTCTTCTACGAGTGTCTCTGTGTTCAATGGGTTTTGATTGATAAAGATTAGTTCTTTTTCAGATTTTGTATAAGTAATGCCTAAAAACTTGCGTAGTTATCAGAAAGCTAATAAACATTATCGTTGTAGACTTGTAGTAGCACAAGAAATGGTGACATTGATTAGTTCTAAAAGAGATTAGTTTTCACTGGTAAGGATTTCCCAAGATCGGTTGTTAACTCGCTAACCAAACACCGAAGGATCTCGTATGCAATCTCTGATCCTATTCCAAATAGATGAGTTTCAGGATCAAGCCATTTCTCCATTTCGATACCGATAACCTCATCCATATTAATCCGAGTCCACTTTGGAACTTCTTCAAGAACTCCTCGAATCAACTCGTCAGGTTTAGCACTCAAAGGATTTAGTCCGCAGGAAATGTTTCTTTCTTCCAAGTGTTCAATCATGGCATCTACGAGGAACCCACCGGTTAGTCCAGGGAGGTTGACTAGATTATCAGAACGAGCTGCGTAGATCATTAGTTCGTCGAAGAGTTCTGGTCTGATGAGGTAGTTCTCTTGTGTATTAGTGGTACCAACTAATAGCTCGGTGTGGATAATGACTTCTCTAGCAATTGTGAATCTCTGCTGCGTTAATATGAGACCTGTGTTGCTTAAACATCGCAGGACGTTAGAGACATGGCTAACAAGACTCGCGATCGCTTGATAATTACCACCACTTGTTGAATTCGTGAATGAAGTCGCGGAATCTTCGAGAATGGTCCAATCGGGTTCTATAGGCTCTAGAGGTAGTCTCATTTGGCCTGGAACTACAAATCATAAAAGCAGTTTCAAGTTTCAGAAACAAGAACTGACGTTTTTTAAGAAGTTAATTGCTGTCTGACTATCTTTATGTACCTGAGACATTGTCAAAGCTATTTGAAAAACAACTCTCATTGGAGAAAGATGCATCGAGTACAGAACCGGGGCTAGTGTACTCACTGTTAGCATTTCCAACGGAGCTCCACAACTCTGTTTTGCCTTTCCTCTGCAAGAAGCAAGAAGCATAATGAATAAAGAGATAGGGAAATACTTAAAACTGGAAGTCTTCGGAGATTATAAACATACCCGATAAGCTGTTTCTGCGTAAGGCATATCGATATCTCGATTATAACGCTGCTCCAAAGCTAAAGAAGATAGCAATTCATGAAGAATCAAAGATGCTGATTTATTGGGAAAAGCACTTCCTCCTATAACCTCATCTTCTTCTTGAGAAGCTAATTCTTTCAACTTTTGCTGAATCAACCCGAGAGTACCTACATCAAGCGGTGGCCTTTTCGTAAAGGATGGTCTTGGAACACGTTGAACTCCTTTTCTCTCTTTAGTTTCTCTACAGCATTGGCTATTATTTCTGTGAAGTGAACCAAGTTTCAGTGATGGAAATGCAGTTTCATTGCTACCGCTGGGGCCATTACTAACAGCGCAAGAGCATTCACCATCTAACCTTTTTGACACTGGACTCGTAAAGCTACTTCCTCGTCCGTGACCACTATCACAAGCTAGCCTCCTCTTCCGTCCAGGCGTGCTTAATACTGATCTACTACTAGACTCCTCAACTCTAGTCTGAGATTTTCTCTGCAGATTCAAATCAGAGTTTTCAAATTTAACCGGGGACTTCAAGTGATGATTCCTACTAGTTGAACCTCTATTCATAGCTATAAAGTCCTTCTCTTTACAGTTGATAGCATTAGCAGGTGAAGAACAACCTCTTTTACTCGGTAAGGCGAAAGATCGAGCTTCCGGAGTAAACCTTTCCTCCCTATGCAACACCTTATTATGATAATCTCTGTTTCTAAAACCCGGCAGCGACATTTCATCCTTTCCATGCTTCCCATTGAAGTCATATCGAGCACGGTGTAGAGCTTTCCTCACCACTTGATCTGTACTGTCTTCATTTCTCCAAAACACATTTCTTTTACTCCGTTGAAAAGGCGTTGATTCAGAAACACACGCCACGTTCTTTCCAGTTTCTTCAACTACCGGACTCGAACCATTAACATCAACCAAGCTACCACAAGCTTTACAAGAAGCAACACTACTATTATAACCACATTGAAACTCCGGTGAAACAACAACTTCAACCGGTTCTTTCCCAGCATTTTCAAACCTTCTAAACCCCGAAGAACCAGGATAAGCAATAGCGCATTTCGCATTTCTCTTCCCCGGTTCAAGAATCCTAGCAGCAGCATCAATCAACCTAGAACTTTTTCTATTCAACCTCGGACTTCTAACAGGAGAAGCTAGTTTCTGATGCTGATGATGACTATTATACTGATGATGTTTCCTTACTCTAGTCAAAACATTCTTAATCTGCAACGCATCAGAGCCAAACTTCTTCACCGCAACACGCCTATCACACACTCCCGTTGTTCTCTGCATCTTCTGTGGCCTTAACTTATCAAAACCACTATCTTCTTCTTCTTCCACATCAAACAAGTCACATTTATCGGTATCCTGAATCTGCGAAAACAACGGTTTCTTCTTCTTATTCTTCCCTTTGTCTCTATGACTAGATGGCATTGATTCAAGTCCCATTAAACGTGCTACTAAACTAGGAGATCTCATTTCATGCTTCTTAAGCTCTCCAACTTCACCTCTATTAGGAAAACTTCCTCTGTTCTCATCATCAATCTATCAGTTCAACACAAATACAGAAAAATCAACAATTACTCAAATCAAAAACTAAAGATATAAACTTTAACAAAAAAAGAGACATAATCACCAGATTAAGCTTTGACTTTAACATCTTCTCATTCCCTCCAAACCTCTTCGACACTTGTTTCCCTAACAATTCATAAGAAACTCCTTCATTACACAGAAGCTCAACAACACTCTCTTTCAAACATAAACTGAGACAGAGACAGAGACTAACCAGGAAGAAGTGATTTGCGAGAAAAGAGTTTCTTTTTAGCAAAGCGTCGGTTCCAATCAAAGAGCTGGAAGAAAACACCGACACAACCACCAAGTCGATTTGGTCGTTTCTCAGTTATAGCCGCACACGGCGCCGTCGTTTCCTGTAACTCTCCCGTCATAACGAAACCCTAACAAACCCACAAGCTCAAAAAGATCTCAAACACAGTAAAAAAGTCTCCTTTAGAGACACATTGTCTCAAATTCCATAACTTTATCACATAATCAAGAAAGAAGCAAAGACCCAGAGAAAAAAGAACAACACTTTCTTTGAATTCTGATTCTTAAAAGAAAAAGAAAAAAGTCACTCAGCTTTTGTGAGTTTGGGGAATCTCTCAGAGATGAATGTACATCAAGAAGACAGTTGGAAAATCAAGAAAACGACAATTGTACACTATAGTGGAAGAAGAAAGAAAGAAACAGAGCTTTTTTTAGAAGAATGGAAAAAAGTTTATGTGTCAAGAATTGAGAACTCAACGGGTAAATATTCGCAATTGAGAGTTTAAAAAAAGTGAAAGGAGACAAAAGCAAAACGATAGTGACGAGAAGTGATTGAAAGAGAGAAGAGTAAATCTTTTTGTGTTTTTTTTTCTCTGTGAAAATTATTACTGTGATTCTCTCTGTTGTCACTGACGGTGAAAGGGGCTCGAGAGAGATTGTTACAGAAGAAAGAGAGAAGCATGCGCACAAAAGGTTAAGTAGCTGATACAAGTAGACTATAGAAAAGACTCAAAAAAGAGAAACAAAAATGGAGATTAGTTTTGAGTATATGTTTAGAGAGTAGAGATTAGAAGCGTAAAAATGTGGTTCCGGACAATTAGGGTTAGAGGTTCGAGGTTTCTGTTTCTCTCGTTTTTGAGGAATCCAGCTTCATCTGTAGTCCGTTTCTCAGTTCCAACTTTGTATTGGTTTTTGTTCCAAACTGAAGGAAAAGAAAAACTAAAGTGTTTGTTTTTTATAACCTATATTGAAAAAGGGCAAAAATATACGATAGCATGATTTTTTGTGGCCAATTAATTCACGACATGTGGACAACACTAGTTTTGTGACAAAGAAAAAAAAAATTTGAAGAGGCTAAACAACGACCTGACCTTATGGATGGATGACCACAGTGTGATGGGGTTTAGAGGTTGTGGTACTAGCTTGTCTCCTAGGGCAATAACAAATATAATATAGAGCTGCAAAATTTTCGGTTATAGGTGACGAAGCAAAATGAGAAATTATTACTATGTCAATGTTAAAAAATAAAAACGCACGAAATCAGAATTTCTTATAGTCTAGAGTCTAGACTAGAGTGTGTGAGAGCATTATCTATGTGTTAAAGGATTTTTTTTTACGTCCAATTGTTATGTTTAGGTTCATGGACAAAATTTTATTATTGTATCAAGTAATAATTGTAAGTACTCAAAGGTGTGGATTCACAAAATACCTATGAATTAGCGAAGGTTACGACCAATATAATGAGTCAAAATTGTCAAATAATAATGGGATCATAAAAAGAACTTTCAAAGCTTATGAAATTTTCATTAAATTTTTAAATTTTTCTTTTTCCAAAACTGTTCATCATGATTTTCTTTTAAAGTATATAAAATGGATTCACAGAAATTATCGTGCGAGTTACAAATGGTTACGAAAAAATCATGTTTTAATCATTTTTGCAAGTTTCTATAATGTATTGAGAGTTTTTTTTTTTTGACATCCCAATAACAATAAGGGTAGTTTGTAAGAAAATTTAGAGCGAGTAAATTAGTCTCTTCTCCAATGACAAGATTCGAACATAATCCATTTGGAAGGTTCTTGGTCCAACCAATAAAGGACTCCTAAATTACAAATATCATTTTCTTTTATAGTCGAGATATCAAATAAGCTCGATTCAGATAATCAGACGACTCTAGTAATCTACTTTCGGGTAATTATATCGTTCAATTTTCACTAAACTTTTTATCAAGTACTATATCCAACGTTGTTGCAAGTTTGTGTTACACTAATCAAGAGTCAATAGCTTCATTATTTGTAGATTTTAGTGTCTAAAAAAAATGTAGTGAACTATATATATAAATGGGTAAGTATATAGGGGGAAAAGTTTGAAATATTAAGAGTGTAATAAGACAGGAAAAGCAGAAGTTGCGTCTTTGTCCGAGTCTGACGAGTTCTGAGATGTCACGGACAATAACCCATACACGCTACGAATCTCAAGCATTCCCCCACTTCTATCTAAACACAGTACCAATTATTTTTTCTTCTACTCATATATATACACATACTTCCAAATATAAAAATATTTGGTTAAGCTATATATTGGAAATTGTTAGTAACATAACTGTTTGAAAATTCCCAACACGAAACGATGCTAAAGGAAACAAAAAAAGAAGGGATCAAATTTTGTCAAAAAAATGAAGAAAATAGGAAACCCAGTTTTACTATTTGCAAAAAGTAACATTTTGACCAAGATGAAACAAAACAAAAATTCCTGGTGCTTTCTCTAGAATACTGTGGTTTGATTAAAACATCTATCATGCATGCAGAAAGTTAAATAGTTTTCGTGACTTTCTTATCGAACAGTATATGTGAATATGATGTTTATTTTATTGTATAAATGATTATATATTACAACTAAATGTTCATATAGCTTATGAATGTGTTTTATATTTGCTCGTAATGAGATACATTATAATATATAGATAATGACTAGTTAATAGATAATACGGAGAACCGGAATTTTGATTGTTGCCAAAGGCTAACATAAAAACATATGGGACTAGAGAAGGACCCGTCCGATGGACGGGTTTAATTTTTAAAAATTAATATCAAATTTAACAAAAAATTAATTAATAACGTTGTAACTTATGGTTCATGGATTTGGAAGAAGATACTCAAATACCGAGAGACAGCAAAACAATTCCATCGCGTGGAAGTGAACAGCGGTGACACGACTTCGTTCTGGTTTGATTTATGGAACCCCTTGGGACGTCTTCATGATTTCTTAGGGGACAGAGGTTGTATTGATTTAGGAATCCAAATACAGAGTTCAGTTGGAGAAGTAATGTCTATGACTAGAAGAAGAAGGCATAGACAAGCATTACTGAATCGGGTTGAGGAGGAAGTGACGAACCAGAAACAAAACCGAAAACAGGGGGTGCGAGATGTGGCTCTATGGAAAGGCAAGAATGACTGCTATAAGAAGAAATTTATTACAAGGGAGACGTGGTCACAGATACGAATCGCTAAACCATTGATGAATGGCTACAAAGAAATCTGGTTCCCTAACGCAACCCCTAAGTATGCGTTTCTTACATGGCTGGTGGTTAAAAATCGAATTGCAACAGGTGAAAGAATGCTACAATGGAACCAGAATGTAGATCCGAGCTGCATTCTATGCAAGTATCCTATGGAGAATTGTGATCACTTGTTTTTCTCCTGCCCATATTCAAGGAAGGTATGGGAACAACTAGTGAAAGGAATCCTTGTTGATAAGTTCACGCAAAACTGGAGGGATGTGATGACATTACTTGCTAGCAAAGAGTTGGACAAGGTGAAAAGGTTTCTTGTTGGTTATGCTTTCCAGAACACGATTCACTCCATTTGGGGTGAAAGAAACAACCGACGACATGGAGAACAACCTGCAACGACGGAGAAGCTGGTACGAATAATTGATAAGAATGTTCGTAATCGGATGAGTACGCTTACAAGAGGAGGGAATGTTGCTCTCGTGGGAGGACTCCAAACATGGTTTGCCACAAGACAAGATTAATTAGACTCTTGTTAGAAGTTTTTTCATATCTAAAGTTTGCATGAAAATGTAGAAACGTTTATTTTTTTCTTGAATATAATTTAACATTAAATTCAAAAAAAAAAAGTAGAAATATTTTTTCAAAAAAAAAAAAAAATTATTTACTTTTTCACTGTTAGCAATAACTCATGGTATACTTATATGAAGATATATAAAATTATTTTTCAGTATAGCCGTTCAATTTACGGACCTACCTTTTTCCAAAATATATATAGCAATTTTACGAATATATATACACACACATACTTTCAATATAAATTATTTTTTAGCTGTAAATAGAAAATTGTTAGTAACACAACTGTTTGAAATTCCCAACTCGAAACGATTCCAAAAGTAACAAAAATAAGTAGGGTTAATGAGGAAAAATGACACAATTTTTTTTTGTTAAAATGAAGGAAATAGTAAGCCAATTTTACTATTTACGTAAAGTAATAATTTGACCAAGATATATGAACAAAAAGGAAATTCCTGGAGTTTTCTCTAGAACCATGTGGTTTGATCAAACATCATGCTGAAAATTAAACAGTTATGGTTATTTCCTTTTTTTTTTTGTTTTGACGCCACAGTATATGTGATGTTTTAAACTGTATAACTGATATATATTAAAATTAAAAATTTTGGTTGTTGCCAAAATACTAACAAAATAATATGGGATCATTTTTATAGTATTATAGTATAGGAAAATGTTATTTTACAATTCTATAATATTTTTGTATCTTAAGATACATTTTTTGTTATTTGTAGTGGATGTGACTTGTCAACATATTTTTTAAACACATCACTAAATAAAATCAATGATTTAAAATTAAGGTCGCTAATCGGTTGCCATGTGACATCCAAATAAACAAAATTCGGTCGCAGTCATTGATCCTGCAAAACAAAAGCCCATATAAAACAATTCTTTTGTTAAATTTGGGCTAATTCTGGGCTTCCAACTAAAAACCAATTGGCAATTAGTGGATTGGCCCTAACCCTTTATATATTATTGATTGTCCCATCAAACTTCCGATGTGGGGCTTGGATTGTATCTCCAACAATCTCCCCTTCAATCCAAGGACCACATGGATCTTAACACACCTCCTCGATCCCTCACTCGGACCGATAATAAGCCCCTTTCTCGGGCCCCCATTACTCGGGTTTGAGGTATGTTCGTATCCACTTTTCTAGGTCCACCAGAATTTGAACCTTGGGCTCTGATACCATGTTAAATTTGGGCTAATTCTGGGCTTCCAACTAAAAACCAATTGGCAATTAGTGGATTGGCCCTAACCCTTTATATATTATTGATTGTCCCATCAAACTTCCGATGTGGGGCTTGGATTGTATCTCCAACATCTTTTAGTCTAATTTTTGAAACGTTCTTCACAAAACAATGTTTTTCTTGAAATAGAATGGACAATGATGTGTGTGGATGATTTTGGGTTAGAGATTTTTTAGAATGACTCAAAAAGAATCTGGTGAAAGCGATAAGAAACTCACAAGAGTAGCCAACTCTCCAGAGTGTGCTAATGGAAATCACAGCAACATGAATATGTTTGCTCCAATTTTCTTTTGTATTATGGGGTCGAGAAAGCAATGTGTGACGATCTTATTGCCAAAAAATGGTATCTAAGTCTAATATGTATGATTTTGTTATAGATGTTAGTACTCCATACTGGCTTGTTACTGTCATTGGCAAAGTGATTATGATGGCATTTGTACTTTGCTAGTTTGAAATACAAATACAAGTAGGACTTTTTGAGATTTTCAAAATATAATGAGTTTGACGACCCACTTTCTTTTTCTTTTAATTACACATGGAAAATATGTTGGGCTTATGAACTTCTTCTTGTTACACATAGAAAAGATGTTGGGCTTATGAACTAGCACTTTTCAAACCCATCCAAAATAGTAACCATTCATCTATATGATCTATTAAAAAATAAATAACAAACAAAATTGGTCTCATTTATTCACTTGGACTTGGTTCAAAGTTGAGATTTGAAGAAAACCGACCCGGCCGTTCTTCGTAAACCAAAGAGATTAGAGTGAATTACTGTTTTTTTCTTTCTTTTTGTATAATAAAGTAATCTCTTGTTACGCATACAAAGAGATGTTGGGATTACAAACCACAAATTTTCCATGCCCATTAATTTCTGAGTAACAAGAAATTTTCGTGGAATGTTGGTGAAAAATATGCTTTAGACGACTAACTTCTCCTTGACCCTTATAAATAGAAAGGCAGAAAGCAAACCTAAATACTCTCTCTAGAAAAAAAATTAGAATCGACATTTTTTTTTTGAATGCCATGACAATCTTAGCTTAAGAATTACTTTATCAAGAAACTGTCAAATTTTTAAGATGGATAAGCAAATAGCTTAAAACGATTTTATCAATAACAAGATTGGACCACATGCTTTTTTCCAGTACGTGCCATATGAACAATTCTCGACCAACCTAACATTTCTTTTTGGCATAACCAACCTAGCATTTTTTAATATTCAAAAGTATGATATCTTGGTGTTGCATGAATTTGAATAATAGAAGTTTATATAGTATTATGTAATTATTTCTGGTTTAGTTTGCACGTGGTTTTGGACTAAATATATATACGGTTAACTTCATGTGCATGCATGAATATGTGTTAATTAATGATAATTGAACTCAACTAGGCTCTCTATATTTGCTTTATCACTTGCATGATTGAGGTTTTAATGTAATTATTTCTTGAGCCTAGTAACCGAACCAACCTAGGATTCGCCGAACCGAAATCAAATTGAATTTCAGAATATATCGAATAAACCGAGCATAATAGCTGAACTCAAAATTGGTCTAGCCAAATCAAACCGGACAATGTCGGTAAATTTATTAAATTTTAATATTTATATAGAAATATGAAAAATACATCTAAACATAAAGCCTGCAATGATAATTAAAATGAGTTATTTACTTATATTTTCATCAGCTTTTTCCTAAAACCTAATCAAATTTGAACACAACCAAACGGAATCGAAATAAAATTCGGTTCTAGTTTTGATTTAAGATATGCATAAATTTAAGATATGAATACTTATTTCGTTAATGCACCATGCATATTATTCTTGATTAAAATGCATGAATCGAACATAATTAGTCTTGTTTAGCCCATATTATACTTAATCCATGTGCTCCAATCGGAATTCAGTCGTAACTCGTAAGTTTCTTAAAGAACCTTTATGATCAAAGAAACTAACAGAAATGGTTATTTTCCATACATATAAATTAAAACAAACCTGAAAAAAAAATTAATCAACATTCAAACACTTTATCGTACTATATTGACAATATGTGGATCTTACTAAATTTATTCTATACCAATCAAATCAATATTGCAAGAGGTTAATTTAGTCCCAAATTAACATATGTTAGTAGCAAAATTTTCATGTATATATGAATTTTGTTGAAAGGGACACAAAATAAAATAATTAATAGAGATATATGTATCTCATAAAAAGAAAAGGGAAAATTAGTGACAACCAGAAGAGAATAGGATTAAAGTGTTTTTAGTGTCCTACAACCATGTGGCGGTTGACATCGTCCAGATTATAATTGTCATACTTCCTTGTCTTAAAAGTGATCTAATAACAGTGTCACAATGATAACTTCGTCTTCTTCTTCTTTTGTATTATAGGACAATTGCGAAGAAAATTCCCAATTTTGTATATATCTCAAAATTAGTTTCGATTTATAGTAACAAATGAAAAGACTTTGAAGTGTGAACTATTTAAAATGTGATCATCATCGGTTAGTAGGCTAGAAAAATATTGTACTTTTTTATAAAAGGAAACTCAAACTTATGTAAATTAATTTTGGATATAAACGTTGGATGTAGTGATGTAACTATGTAAGTAAGGTTCCAATAAGAATAAATTTAAGTGCATGTCTTCAATAAAATGAGTTCTTTAAAGTTTCTATAAACTTGTCAGAAACTTAATTTTTTTCAATCATGCAACACAACTAATAAAGTTATAAAGAAAATATGACTGGACCATTAGATAGCTATCGACTTTTTGAATTATTGCTAAATGCTCTATCCTTGAACATGTAAAAAAAAATTTGGGGCTAAAAATAGTTGAAACCAATAATTTGAATGTGTAAAACTTTTTTTTAGTTTTTTCTTGAACTATTTATATACTTCTTTGAAAATACATAAAACGTACAATATCCTAAAATAAAACGAAGGAAATAGCATGCACGGAGACTAATTCATCCTCTAAATTTTAAAAAAGGACTGCTCCATGGAAGTTGCTTAGAATAGCAAAAATCTTAAGCTTGTTGATGACTATTTTGATGCAAACCTAGCTAGACTTCTACATGCTTTGTGTTGTATGAGCTTTTTAATTTGTATATCTTCTATTTTCCCAATCGAATAAGCAGCAAATTGCCTTCACATATACATCATATATCTATCACACATACATAAATTCAAATTTCAAGAGTCCAGAGACTGACTAGTAAACTTGAATGATCATAACTCATAACGGGACATATTAGACTTGGCGTTTCTAAAATTGAGGTTTGTAGAATTGTCCATAAAAATCCGTAAAATATCTTAACCTGCTACAACATAATAAAATCGAATTTTGATCATTTATAGTTGATAATAAAATAAAATAAAAATATCAAAAAAGCAAATTAAATTACTTGATAAAATGAATATAAAAATATACACACTTGTATTTAAAACTAACAACTAATACATGTGTAATTAAAGTATCACATTCATAGGTCAATCCGTTGTGATCTACATGCATTTAGCCCATTAGAAACTACTATCCACATTTAGACTAACTTGCGAAACCGTTTTGTGTTTGCATCTAAATAATACTCTCCAAACCCGGCTTATGACGACATGGTCTTTTTCAAATCCGCGAATTTTACCCTAACTAGCACACATATGTATGAATTCAAGCAACAAGTACTCGTTTGGAAAATTCTACCCATAAAGTGAAGGACTACGTACACCCTTTTTTTCTTTAGACCATCCAGCCCACAAACTTCCATCCAACATAAAAGCATATGGTATATAACTACATATCCTATTGACATTACAGTTGGATGGTGCCATCATTGTTTACTTGACTCTTGACTATACCTTTCAAAACATTACTAAGCCTTAGAAAAGTCAGTTTCATCGCAATCTGATTTGGTGTAGACAAGATATAGTTGTGGTCAACAAATTTTACTAAAATTATAAAAGAATTTTGATAGGAATCGTGTGAACTAACTAAGATTGTTACGGCCGGTAAAGTATAAAAATTAAATTCCTTATTAGCAAATTTAAACCGTAAAATTGAAGGAAAAAAAAACGTAGAAAACAATAAAGGAATAATTGGCACGACGTTAAGCTTAACTTTACATGGAATGATAGAGAGAAAAGTAGAGATTTCACATCAATTATTTCTATTTTTTTTCCTTTTTCTTTGCATTGCTTTAGTGATAATTCACATTAATTGGTAATACACACCATGTGAGAAATATTCAAAAGGAACAGAATAGGACAAGCTCCAAAGATAATTGTTTACCTGTCACTTGTCTTGTCCCACTTTCTAATTGTATTTGATAACTCTCTCATCATTGTTTTCTACAGTTTTATCATTAGTTAGTCACTATTATATTACCAAAATTAGTTTAGTAATAGACTAAGTCAAGGTTATATATTCTCAACTACTAAATGTACAATATTTGATTATTCAAGTAAACGAATCAATTGAAGTTCATTGATTAAAAACTTGGAAGGACACGGCCGGCTGAAACCTACCACCCCTACTTGATCCACACAATCTTTGGGAAGATAAGACTAATTAATTTTGTTTTTGCTTTTAAAAAGACTATTGATCTAAGGTTCACAATCTTTGGTACTAAGAAAATTAATTTAAGTTGGAATAAAAATTAGAATGATAGTTATAATAAGTTAATTTTTTTTTTTTTTTTTTTTTTTTTTTTTTTTTTTTTGTGCACCATAATAAGTTAATTAAAATTTCGATATAAACAATCAAAACATGTTCAAATAACAAAAACATAACTATAAATATTTATTTTTTTATATCTATTCTATATAACAAATAAGTGCTTCATCTTCAATGATACCAACAAAATATGATTGAATTTAGGTTAAAACTTTATTTAATTCCGATGTAGTTAATTATCTCATCCATGTACAACTTGTAAAACTCTTTTCTTTTGTTATCTTTATCCCTCTCATTGTAAAATAAGTAATATTTAAACAATAATCATTATAAAAAAAATCACACACCTAAATCACTTAATAATTTTTTTCTAGAAAGTACTCCTAAACTATTTAAACAAATACACATAAATATCTTAATGGTGATAGTTGATCAACAAATAACTGAAATTAGCAGCCTCTTATTAAAAAAAAAAACACAAACTAACAAATAAAAAAGAACACAATTACACCACAATAGTCTAAAAAATAATACTGGCATGGGATCCACAAAACACACTGTCAGAAAATCTTCAGAGTTTCAGAGAACAAGAAGAAGAAGAAGAAGAATAAAACAGTAAAACCAGAAAACATATCTATTCTTACATTTTATCTCTTCTTGTTCTTGTCTCTTCCATTACCAGAAAACATCGAACCAAAACCAAACAAATTCCCAGAAGGAACAACATTTATAACCGGACTCACTCTAATCCCACCACCTCCATGATGACTACCATAACTATACCCTCCATAGCTTTTCTTTAATGGTGGTTTCGAAAAACCATTATTACTCAACGAAGACGAAGCAGAAGATGAAGAAGACAACGATGAAGATTGTTGTAACTTCACATGTTCGTTATGTTTCCTTGAGCTGCTCTGTTTCTGTTTACTCGATGTTGAACCGGTTGAATTACTCCGGTTTAGTAACGGTAACGGACATAAACTCCGACCATAAGTACTTCCACAGTTTAAACTACTGCTTCTCTTAAACCCCCAAAACGACTTCGTATTGGTTTTCTCCTCCGTCGTGATGATCACGTCGTCTTCTTGTTGTTCTTCGTTTTGTTTCCTCTGCTTTCTTGAATCCGGTTTAGTCTTAACCGGTTTTGGTTCTGGTTCTTTTTTTCCCGGTTCTGGTTTTTTCTTGATCTCTGTTGGTAAGATTTTGCCGTTAGAGAAGAGTTCATCAGCGGACCAAGAACCTTGGTCGAAGCTTTCGCCGGAATTTACGCCGCCGGGAATGCAGAAATCGAAATCTATGCTTGAATTGAGACTTGATGGTTTAGAGTTTGATGATCTTAAGGGACGTTTCTCGATTGGTATTGCGTCTGATTGACAAAAGTCACGTGAAAATGAGATTCTTGGACTCATATTAGAATTTTCCGATAAAAGATCCACCGCCATTTTCTTGAAGAAGAAGAATTTTGAAAGGGTTTTTTTTTTAATATAGTAAATGAGAATTTGTGAAAACGAAGAGATTTTTTGATAGTTTCTGCAGAAAAAGAGGAGAAGGAGAAATTGGAAGAAGAGAGAAAGAGAGAGATTTGGGGAAGAAGGTGAATTTAATTATTTTTATAGGTGATTTTAAAGAAATGAAATTAGGAATTAAAATGAGAAAATAATGAAATAAATTTAGTTTTTTTTTTTTTTTTGTGAAAAAGAGAAAAAGGAAGAATAAAAAAGAGAAATTCCTAAAAATGGCCCTAAAACAAGTTTTATTGACAATAATAGCACACACTCCATAAACTTCCAAAAATAGCACTAGTTAACTTACTATTAGTGTTTTTGTTCTAAAAATTTTATCACTAGTTTTTTTTTTTCAATAATACCACAACTTTTATATAAAAGCTATTCAACAAAATCAATTAGAAATAAATTTAAAATATTATATTTGGGTTCTCTATTTCCAATTTAGGGTATATATTTCTACCATTTAAAAGAGATTTTGATTCATTTTAATATTAGTTTATGGTATTATATTTGGGTTCCCTATTTCCAATTTAGGGTATATATTTTCACCATTTAAAAGAAATTTTTATTTTAATATTAGTTTGTGGTATTATATTTGGGTTCCCTATTTCCAAATTAGGGTATATATTTCTACTATTTAAAACAATTTTGATACAATTTAATATTAGATTAGTGTTTGCTCTCTTTTTTATTTTCTATCTTATATTTTCATTAAGTTAAATTGAAGTTTATGGTGCTATTTGTGGAACTTTTCAAATGAGATGCTATTTTTGGAAAAAAACAACTTTTTTGGGGCTATTTGTGTCAATTTCCCAATAAAAAATGGTAATAAAAGAGGGGACAAAGAAGCGTGTCGCTTGCTACATATTCACATGCATGGGCCAAAAAAAGGATATATGTATGTTGGTTCTTCACTTTCGTACTTTTTTTTTTTTTTTTTGTGAATGGTCTAATTTTTAATGTATATATTGAAGCTTTTGTTCAAGATATATTGAAACTTCTGTAATTTTTTTTGTTGAAGTCAAAAGACATGGGCAAACTGCAATGTTTGAAATGTTTAGAGAGTAAAATGTTCAGATTCGTGTTGACCAATCTGATGAAGCAGTGAATATAGACCAATGGTGTAAAGTTCACCGACCCAAGACTTTAGCAAACAATTACTAAAATTTTGTCAAGAACATTTGTAAGGAGATAAGTTTTTGTTAAGAGGTATTAAGGAGAGGGAAAAGAAAAACTAAATTGTTTGGGTATTGTTCACGCAAGATTTTTTATATCGTCATCAACTCATCATGCGAATTTCTTTTTTAATAATTGTTGATTGGAGAAATAAATATATTTGTGTTACAGAAAATATAACCAACCAAAGTCATTTAGACCACTAGGACTAGTGTGATGTTTTCCGAATATCTTTCTACGTTTAAGTAAGAAAACGTTTATTCAATTTTTGAACTTTCTAAGTTGTTTGTTTTATTGTTTAGTTCGGTCCCTTTAGTTTTTTGGGGTCAGTTTTATGTGTAAGAATTAGTCTTTTATGTCAAATTCTGGATTTGGATTCTCCATTCTCTTTAGGTGGAATTTTTTTAATTTTTAATAGAAGTATTTAGAGAGTTTACCGAGTTTGGATATCGGATCACCATATTTTAGGGTAGATGGATCAGTCACTTATCGATCTATCACATAGTTCGTAAGTTTGGTGACTAATGACTTTAAAGCACGTTACAAAACATGTGTTCGATAAGTTAGGGTAATATAGCATCGTTACTGCTTTATACTCTCTCCGTTTCGCAAAGAGTGTCGTTTTAGGATTACTTTTGCGTTTCAAAATAAGTGTCGTTTTAGATTTTTAATGTAATATTTGGTATAAAGTTTCGATTTTAACCTCAAGTTTATAGAAGAATATCAAAAGTCAATTTGAATTTAAAGAGTATTACAGAAATTTTAATATGTTTTCTTAATTTGTGTGAAAAGTGTTAAAATGAAACAGAGGGAGTACGAGAATGTTGCATCCCATTGAACATTTACTTCACGTTTAATAAGGTCGAGCACTAGTCAGTCTTCGAATTTGATGTATTCAGGATAATATTTACATAGGAAATAAGTTACCAGAAAGTCTTTTTGCATGTTTGACCCAATTATCACAACCTGAAATGTTGGTGCTTTTAATTGAAATTTACCCCAACAATATTGTTACTGCTAAAACTATTAGTTGAAGTTAGCCAAAAACATTCAACAACCTCAATTAATTCGATATTAAAACATTTTTGATCCAATCATTTATTTGCAATGACTATACCGACCTTACTGAACCGTACCAACTACATTTATCTACACTGCTTTTTATAAGTATTGAATTAGAAGCTAAACGATACAAATGTTGCTGTCTTATTATTTCAGTTTTTAAATTATTAACCTAGTTTGTTCTTGTCTTTACTAATTTAGAATATCCGTTTATTTTTAAGATTCTCAGTTTAGGTTTAATTTAATGGTTAGGTGATAAATTAATTATAAGTACAAGAATCATTATAAAATCAATAAGAGTGGCATTGTTGATGATACCTCCAAACTAATTTATAAAAGTCAGACAATTGTCAAATATATATCAAGAACATAGTTTTCTTTAATAGTAGACCATAATACAATTTCGTTGTTATCCACTTTTGTAAAATATGAAATGTATATATCAAAGATTTTTTTTTTTTTTTTTTTTGGTAAAAGATTTTTTTTTTTAATTGTCGCTAATTGTACGTATTTGTTCCTTTCAAATTTGGATTATATATTTATTTCCTTTATATATATCTTATGTATATAACAAAATTATTTTTGATAGAGAAATGAACTTCTTTGTATTCTAATAGGGGAAAAATGTCAAAAAAATCATGAACTTTCAAATTTGGGACGATTTAATCTTGGACTACGATGAAGACATTTAAATCATAAAGTTTTTGTTGACTTTACAATTAATTAGCGAAGTTTGTTTGACTCGCCGTTTTAGACACATCGATTTCATTTTCTAACCCTAGAATCCCAATCTCTCTCTCTCGCTTCCCTCTGTTGAAATTCCGACTGATGATGGCTAAAACTCGTGGGGGGAAGAGAAGAATTCCGGTTCGGCGGTCACCGCGACTGAGTCAAGCAGCAGCCGCGGAAAATTTCGGACCAAATCCTACGGAAAATTTCGGACCAAATCCTACAGAAGCGAAGCTGAGCTTCCGCGGCTGCTGCTTGACTCAGTCGCGGTGACCGCCGAACCGGAATTCTTCTCTTCCCCCACGAGTTTTAGCCATCATCAGTCGGAATTTCAACAGAGGGAAGCGAGAGAGAGAGATTGAGATTCTAGGGTTAGAAAATGAAATCGATGTGTCTAAAACGGCGAGTCAAACAAACTTCGCTAATTAATTGTAAAGTCAACAAAAACTTTATGATTTAAATGTCTTCATCGTAGTCCAAGATTAAATCGTCCCAAATTTGAAAGTTCATGATTTTTTTGACATTTTTCCCATTCTAATAGATGGCTCTTTTGTGAAAGAAAAGTCTATAATTCTTTATTTATACTCTTTCTTTATTTAATATGATGAGTCATGCAAGTTTGCTTTTCATAAAATTGAAATCGATTTTTTCTTAAATTTGAAGTAAAGAAATTGTTATGTGATAGAAAGAAAGAGGAAAAGGAGATTTCACATTATCTAGAAAATAGAAGGGAATTTTTAAAATTAATTAAAAACTTTATGAATTATATGAAAAAAAAATTGAAGACAAAGTAAGCATGGCCATGGGTCCGATGGCTACGTACTTACCGAAAACGAAGAATCCCACTAAGGGAAGTGAAGGGTTAAGAGATGGTCCACGTTTCCTACTAAAACATTTTCCTATCCATTTGGATCACCCACGAGCCCACCTTGAAACCAACCCGACCCGATTCGACCCAACCAAGAATTGCCTACTTTGGCTGCTCTCGATAATACTAACAGGAACCGTTAGGGTTTGGTTATGATGACGGACCCAAGAAATATCGGATTTTTCTGATCCTAGTAAACAATAAAGATGGTCCAGTCCGACAAATAGCATTGGTGATGTTTTTTGCTGACAATTACCGAACAATTAATAATCAAACTGCTTTTGTTTTCTACATAAATTCTATATATATAAGAAGAAGATAGCTCTCCATGTTATGATACTTGAGCATCCAAAATGAAGATAGACATTAACTATCAAAATTTGTCTAATGAAATCTTATTATTTTTCTCCAAAATTTGAAGTCTATTCATCTTCCTTTTTTTTTTCTAAAGAAACGTTCCATGTGTTTTTTTTATAGATTACATAGTATTATTTAATATTTATATACCATTTAATAATCTTATAAATAATCTTTAAATAAAGTAGTTAAATAATTTGCTAAACGTATATATATATACATTATCACATCTATAAATCACGTATAAATATATTTGGAATTTCAAATTTTGTCACAACATTATAACTAAATGTTTGGCACGAAAATTTATACCGAACCGCAATATACCACATATATAAACAATAGAGAAATTGTTAAAAATGCCCCTTTTTCAATACCCCTTTTCAAAAATGCCCCCTTTGAGAGTCCATTTTTAAGTTTGCCCTCTTTTAATTTTTAATGACCATTTTACCCTTATTTGAAACAAAATTAGGTCCACAAAATACAAAATATTTTTTGGCGGGAAAAGTGATCCCGCAATTTTCCCGCCAAAACACTTGTAAAAACCTTTAAAATACCTTGTAAAATTTTCCCGTAAAAATTTTTCCCGCCAAAAAATTTTCCCGCCAAAAATTTTTTTTTGCGGGAAAAGTGATTCCGCAATTTTTTTGGCGCAAGTTTTTTGGCGGGAAAAATTTACAAGGTATTTTAAAGGTTTTACAGAGTATTTACAAGTGTTTTGTAAGGTTTTACAATGTATTTTAAAAGGTTTTACAAGGTACTTATAAGGTTTTATAAGGTATTTATAACTTGTAAAACCTTATAAAAAACTTGTAAAACCTTATAACTTGTAAAACCTTATAAAATAGCTTGTAAAATCTTATAATATCTTATAAATACCTTATAAAT